GGCCTGTGGTTATCGAGCTGATGGTCTAGGAGGGCTGCCATCAATCGTTGGTCTTTGCTGGTCGGGGAACTAGGTCGTCGTGGCTTGTACGTCTACCCTCAGTGACTGCACAGTCGTCGGGCCTGAATCCCCAGTCATCAGCCATCGGGCCTGAGTCCTCAGCCAGTTGAAGAGTCGCCTGTTGTGAGTGTTAACCCCCCGTCGGTCGGGGAGTCGCTGTTTTTCGGTTGTTCATGCCTGCTCGGTGCGGTCGTTGGGGTAATCAGTGCGTTGTCAAGGCAGCTCGGGTCGCCGGGGGTATGGCGGTCACGTTGCGTGCTTTTCCCATAGCTGGCCAAATGTGCGCGCGGCAGCGCCAGGGTCGGCCGCCTGTTCAGGTGGGCATCGGCAGCATCAGATGGCCGATATCAGGAGGACTGTCCACATCATGGCACCCTCCCAGCGCGCCTTCGGAGACTCCATTCACAGGGACGAGGTGCCTTCCGTCTGATGCACATCTGTCGTCTCTATTCTCTATCTCTGTCTCTCTGTCTCTGTCTCTGTCCCTGTCTCTATCTCTGTCTCTGTCTCTGTCTCTGTCTCTGTCCCTGTCCATGTCCCTGTCTCTATCTCTGTCATTGTCTTTGTCTCTCTGTCTCTGTCTTTGTCTCTCTGCCTCTGTCTATGTCTATGTCTTTGTCTCTCTGTCTTTGTATCTGTGTCTCTCTCTCTCTCTCTCTCTCTCTCTGTTGTGTGTGTGTGTGTGTGTGTGTGTGTGTGTGTGTGTGTGTGTGTGTGTGTGTGTGTGTGTGTGTGTGTGTGTGTGTGTGTGTGTGTGTGGGTGTGTGTGTGTGGTGTGTGTGATGCGTAGTGCGTGTGCGTGTGCGTGGTGCTGTGCGTTGCTGCGTCTCTCTCTCTCTCTCTCTCTCTCTCTCTCTCTCTCTCTCTCTCTCTCTCTCTCTCTCCTCTCTATCTCTCTCTCTTCTCTCTCTCTCTCTCTCTCTCTCTCCTCTCTCTCTCTCGCTCTATCTCTCTCTCTCTCCCCCTCCTCTTCCCCCTCCCTCTCTCCCTTCTCCCCTCTCCCTCTCCCCTCTCCCCTCTCCCCTCTCCCCTCTCCCCTCTCCTCTCTCCTCTCTTTTCTCTCCTCCTTTTCTCTCCTCTCTTTTCTCTTTTTCTTTCTCTTTTTCTTTCTCTTTTTCTTTCTCTTTTTCTTTCTCTTTTTCTTTCTCTTTTTCTTTCTCTTTTTCTTTCTCTTTTTCTTTCTCTTTCACTCTCTCGTTCTCTTTGCGTCTTTCTCTCTCCTTCTGTCTGCCGGTCGTCGTTTCGGTTACGCACGCGGTCGGCGACCTTTCTCGCGGCCACAGCTCGGATGAATGCCCTGCTTGCCAGACTGTGGCCGTCGCGCTTTCGTTGCCGAGGCAGCAGCTGAACGTCGTCCCGAGGCGGTGGGACTGGGGCGTCCCGTGAGGTTCATCACGCTTCAGGGCATCCCGTGAGGGTCATCACGCGTCAGGGCGTCCCGTGAGGGTCATCACGCGTCAGGGCGTCCCGTGAGGGTCATCACGCGTCAGGGCGTCCCGTGAGGTTCATCACGCTTCAGGGCGTCCCGTGAGGTTTATCACGCTTCAGAGCGTCCCGTGAGGTTCATCACGCTTCAGGGCGTCCCGTGAGGCTCACTTCGCGTCAGGGCGTCCCGTGATGGTCATCACGCGTCAGAGCGTCCCGTGAGGTTCATCACGCTTCAGGGCATCCCGTGAGGGTCATCACGCGTCAGGGCGTCCTGTGAGGGTCATCACGCGTCAGGGCGTCCCGTGAGGTTCGTCACGCTTCAGGGCGTCCCGTGAGGCTCACTTTCGCGTCAGGGCGTCCCGTGAGGTTCATCACGCTTCAGGGCGTCCCGTGAGGCTCATTTCGCGTCAGAGCGTCCCGTGATGGTCATCACGCCTCAGGGCGTCCCGTGATGGCCATCACGCCTCAGGGCGTCCCGTGATGGCCATCACGCCTCAGGGCGTCCCGTGAGGGTCATCACGCTTCGGAGCGTCCCGTGATGGATTACGCTTCGGGGCGTCCCGCGGGGCTCATCACGCTCCAGGGCCGGATGACATCAGGTCGCTGCCGTGATCCCTCTCATCGCAAGTGTTGATGTGTTGATGCGACTGAAGCGTTCTCATCGGATCGGATCGGTGAACGTCTTTTCGAGAACGAATGGCTTCAGCCGGGTTCTTGGCGCAGATTGCTGGGCGTTGTATGGGCACATTTCAGTACCACGAACGAGTGTCAGAAAATACATACCTATGACTTGTCTCTATCGAGCAACTTAATATTTCGTGATGCTCGTTATGTTCTAGCGCAAAGGGCATTTCATGTCTCGAACCTCGTGGCTCTTGAAATGTCCGTCCGCTGTTCCGCAGAATTGTTCGCATGTTACATTAACGGCAGATGCGCGTGGCAGATGTCATTTAGATGATTGGTGTTTCGAGGTTATATGTGCTACTTATCAATCTATGTATTGTAGGCGAAATTGAACAGAACATATTGGACAGTTATATGACATAAAATGTATGTTGTGCCACAAATAGAAATCTAGCTATAAGGGTTAACACGCGCTGGGGTGGGGGTGGGTCAAATTGGCCCTCCCCGAAGATTTTTCGGGAATGATTTCCTAACGGCGCGGCGTGTCCTCGCCAAATTTTGCATAGCTGTAGACAGTTGAATAGCGGATGGTTTGGTATGAAACATTTATATGTATCTTGTGAGGTCGCTGACCTATGGCTGGTCCAAGTCAGGCCATGATTTCAGCGAAGTCAATTTCTAGGGAATCGCTCAATCCTATGCAGAATTGGAGTGTTGGACGAAGCCATACAACGCTGAGATACTTTCTTAGGCAACACAACAATTCAAAGAATAAATTGCATCGCCCTAAGGTCAGGTACGAAGGTCAGACCAAGGCCAAAACCAATCTTCTTTATTACTTCAGGTCTTGCTGTATGGAGAAGCTTCTGATGCTCATTTCAAATTTATTGACAACAGGAGCCGCATAGGATCTTTGATGGATTCAAAGGTCAGAATAGGTTACTGACCTAAAATGACCCAGGTCAATATTTTTGTTTTTAGGAAAATGCGGCTCAGTGTAATCATTGTCGCTTATTCAAATGCAAAACTCAAAGTAGTCTTGTATGATTTTAGACACCATCACCTTCAAAAGATGCAACAAGGTCACTGCTATTAAACGAGCATGTGGCCTTTTGTTTAGAACAGTGATCTAGGTTCTGGGATCATCTCTAGAGACCAACCTGAAATTTGACCTTGTTTGACCTTATTTTAACCCGGAGATCATGACCAAGGAACCTCAAACTCTGACCCAGGTTAGTTCAGGTACCGGTCAACACTCCTCGTGAATTTGGTGTCTAGCTCTCTTAGTTCCTGGTATCCTCGGGAGTCAAAGTGACCCATCCCTCCACCCGAACGAAGGGTATCCAGACGGCCACCCGGGCGCGCGTTAAAGGAAGTATTTCACATTTGTATCGGGGTTTGAACTGAAATCGCCATTTTGCAATCCTTTCGACGTTCACAATTCTGCCCGCCTTAGACCTGAGCCCCTCTAGTTTATGTGCTACGCGCCCGCTACAATGGGGAAAGGTATATGGGGGGAGAGTATTTCAAAGACACCTTGGCATTCATGACGCCAGAATGACGTCATTCGAATGCTGCCATTTCTAAGCCATGCGGGGATCAAGGCCAAGAAATGTCATTATCGCGTTGTTCATATCTGGCGCTCATGAGCGCCATTTTCAGACATTACGGCCATCATTTGGCTCTCAATCATTGTTGCGCAAGGTACGATGACATCATGAAACCATGACGCATTGAGCAGCATATTTACTAAACGGAGAATTGTGCTGCCTGGAGCGGTCTTTTCCACTTAAAAAGTATACCAATAGTTATAAGTGAGCTTGTTTCATCGTATTTCGTGCTTCATTATCTTCAAATGTGAGACATTCCCGTTAAATGGCCCTTCCAAGGCATCGCTGAGTTACGTCTGCTTTTGGTCTAGATTTACAAATCTGCTCTACCGAATTCCTGTACCAGAGCTGCCGCGCTGACGGCCACTGAGAGCAGCAAACATCCGTTTTGCAGCTGGGAACTTCCGGCTGTTGTGGTCTGTGAACAACACCACACACTCTGCCTGCAAACGGGGACGCGGCCGCGGCTGGGCGGGCGCCACAGGGCAAACTGCAGCCGCAATCCTCCAGCCCGTGGTCCTGAAATCCCCCAACTCTCGCTCCAGAAATCCCCCAGCTCCTCGTCGCCGGCCGCGGACCGTCTGGCGTGTGGTGTTGAGGCAGGCCCGGCTGGCTGGCGGCTGGCGTTCGGCCGGCAGCCGCGGACGGCCGCGGCGCGGTGCCGGGTGTGGCGGCTGTCATCGGGCGAGGCTGCTGACGTGCCGTCAGCACACGCCAGGTGGTGGTGACTGACATCTGTGGCTCGGCCGCGCGTGCTCGGGACGGCGGCTTGACTGTCAACAGGCGGCGGCGACACCTGTGACCCCGCGCGCCTGCTGGGCAGACTAGCTCAGCTGAGGGCCGTGACCCCCCCCCCCCCCCCTCCCCCGCCCGCCGACAGGTGCCCCACGCGATGCTGCGGGTCTTTTTTTGGCGGTTGCTGCGTGGAGCGAAGGGATATATTTTTTGTTTTTGTTTTGGGAGGGAAAACCAGTTCGAACCCTCTTGAATAAGTCACAATGGCCACCCATCTTACTGCAAAAGTGGCGTGAATCACACAACATAAGTAACTGGTATGAGGTTGTGTGGATTTACGCTGGCATGCTTTCACCAAGAGAGAGCTGGACATCCGTAGCGCCCACGCACGCGACGCCTCCGTCGCCGTGGTGGGACCCGCCGCCGCACAACCGCACTGTGGGCGCCGCTCCGCGCGATGCCAGACTCGCGGGCCGTGATCACCGCTGTGACGGCATCCAGTCGTCCGCACACACGCTCACTGCCCGCTCTGTCCGCTTCCAGTGCAACAAAATGCCGTGCCTTCAGCCCCAGCAGCCGGCGCCCTACTTCAAGTGCCAGGCGGTGGTGGACGGAGAGTTCAAGGAGATCAGCCTGGACGACTACAAGGGAAAGTACGTGGTGCTGTTCTTTTACCCGCTCGACTTCACCTTCGTCTGCCCCACCGAGATCATTGCGTTCAGCGACGCGGCCAAGAAGTTCCGCGACATCAACTGCGAGGTGAGGTCATAGAGCGAGGGGGATGGAGGGTCGAACTGGCGGGCCTGGGTGTCAGACGCCCGCCATCTGCGTCATTCGGCTGCGCCTTTGTCTTTGACCTGACTGAGGCTTGATTGACAGTTGAGAGGCATCATACGATGCGCAGTGCTGGTGAGGCTCTGGGCCGCTCTCCAAAAGCGTCACCCTTATGACCCCGTTGATCGATATTCGATGGAGCGCCAGATAACCGCAGACTGATGTTATACCCGCGTATGTGTTGAAGGGCGACGTCGTGGCGACTGGATATGGCGTCGCGGGTCGTGCCGCGCGGTCCCACGCCGTATCTGACGCTCGGTCCTGTTCAACGGCATGCCACTCGGACGTTGCCCGTGTTTCAGCTGTTGTTGATAGCATCGTCGTCTTTTTGCGCGTGCGACGCCATCATGTCTGTTTATACTGTGCTGCTTGGAGTCAGCCTTGCCTGTGGTATTCGGAGACGGCCAGCCCCAACCACCAGGCGGCACTGCCTCGCCACGCTGACTGTGCAGCCCCAAAGTGTGGGCCACCCGACATCGAGCAGGTGTTCTTCACCCAGCTGAGCGAACTAGCAATCCTGAAGATCGTCTGCGATGATATCATGGCTTATACTTGGAAAACGCATTGGCCCCCGCTCTCCATCTGTGTTTTGGAAAGCACATGGTTTAACTGGACAACACAGTTGCTCACTTTCCGCATAGATAACTCTGGAAAAACAGTATACGGTCAAAAATCTGGTACCATCGCATGTCCCCAGCCGACAGCAGACGCGGAGCCCGCTGCCGGTGGTGGTACCATCCCGCCGTCTGCCTTGTCTCATGACCCGCCGCGCCCCGTCCCGCTCCCCTGCGCAGCCGAACCTCGCGCCTTACGTAAGCGGCCAGGTGGCGGTCTGTTTCCGGCCTGTGAACGGACGTCTGCGGCGGCTGGTGAACCTGTGCCGGTGACTGGCGCGTGCTCGCCGCGTCGGCGCGTGACCCGACCCAGTCATATTTCGCAGGCGGCAGGTGACCGTGCGACGGCGCACGTGCGCTTCACGTGGGCAATCTGGGGTACAGCGAGTTTTAACGCGTACGCCATAGAGGACGATAACGTGTTCAGAGCGACCCGTTGGTGCGTGGGGGTTCCGGGTTGATTGGGTTGAGGCAAACGCCGGTGCTGTGAATGCGCGCTGAGGAGGTCTCGGTGGTTGTGAATACGGCTGGGCGGAGCCTTACTGGCAAGTGAAGAAATCGCACGCAGTATTCCGTACCGGAGTTCCTAGCAGCGACATTAGTAGCATCACTTTGGTCCAGCCTGACACAGACGGTGTTGCTGAGCATGACTCACGGGTCTTGCCATGGCGCTGGTCGGCTCTTCCCCGCGGCTGGCTGGGGGAGGGGAAGTCGACTTCCCCCTCTCCCCGGCCGGGAGGGGAATCCCCAACATCCCCCTGGGATCTCCAACTTCCAGACGCTGTATGAGAAAAACAAAGTGGCCTTTTTGAAGGTCTCGTCAAAGCGTGAAGAATGCACACCATATTTCTGACTTCAGGTCAAATGTGAGGTCACCAGAGTTCACGGAATGTAGAAAACGGTCGTTCCGATGAATGCAGTTGAGACCTACTTTAACACGTCGAGACGGATAATAAGGGCACGGAAATGAGTGTTAAGAGTGTGGAGAGTCCATTCCGACTATTTTTGTTCCTCCGCGTGGATCAGGTCGGATGAGGTCACCACTCAAAATTTGTGTACCAGCAGCCTACAAAAATGACACTTTCTTCGCAATGTGCCTCTGCCTTAGTCTGTTTTATTAGATGCAGCTGTGGAACAAGATTATTCCAGATGCAAGCTACCATTTTGGGTGACCCACAGATTACCTGAGGTTAGCTTACGTTAAATGTTAAAACATTCAAATGAAATGATTTAAGTGGTAACTGGAGCCTGTGTGACCAGTACAATGTTTTTCTGTGGTCAGAAACAGTTTTGAACATCCACGGGTGCTCAAGATCGCTTAGCTGTTGTCTACACTATGCTTAATTCCTTGGAAGCTCGGTCATCTGTTTGTAACAAACTGAGAACAGGTATGTTGGTGCATGAAAGTAGACGTCATCAGCTTCACGAACACGATAAGGAGGTGGTAACGCGCGTCACACTGGTTCATCAAGCTTCTCTGCTACTGGCAACATGGGTCATTGACTGGATGATCCCATATGACTTAACACATCTTCACATAACGTATTGTTACCTCATTATGCACTAGAATATTATCACAGCATGTTTTCATTGGAGGATTTTAATTAAGCGTCCAAAACCTCCCAATAAAATTGCCTATTTTGAGCTCAGCATGTGTTTTGCAGAGGGTGCCCATGGAGGTAGGTCATGACCCGGGCCAAGGTCATATACTCTGTTGATATGATGGCTGTGTATGTAAGTTATTACTCTTTTCCTCATATAAAAACACCCAAGCCACTGAAAAATACGTGCAAATTTGCATCATTGACGGAGGAATAATAAAACATTATCAATATCCAAGTCCCTGATCTTGCCTTTTCCACAAAATCTGAAATGAACAACCTGTGGGTACCATGATGTTCTCTTGCTATAACAGGTTTGAACGAAAGTAAATGACATACACAAAAGTTACCTGTGGTCGAAATTTTTAAGAGGTTGACATGTTTGACCTGACTTGGGTAGCTGATCTTGGTAGATGAAACGCCGGCCTCAAATTAACTCAAGGATGCGAGGTGCCAAATTGCCTAGGAGATGAACAGTTACTGAATACACGTACTGCAAATTTTGTGCCGCTTCAGGCGCGCGTTTTCGACCACGTGTGCTCGGAAATCGTAGGGTAAAGTCATCTTCCCTCCAGCGGCCGGGCGCGGATGAATCGGGCGTTGAACCGCTTGCGGTGCCGCGCCGGCCTCCGTGAAACCGGTAGACGGTCTCCGGTTGCGGCGCGACCCGTTGTCCCACTCTCTGCGGTCGCGTGACACACGGCCTGTCCCCTGCGGCTGCGGCGGCGCCGCTCGGCCGCGTTACCCTCCAGCCGTCCGGGGCCGGCCCCCGCCCCGCCCCCGGCCGGCCGACCGATCGACCGCCCTACCGACCGGCCGCCGCCGTCGGCGGCGCCCTGCAGCACGCTGGCGCCTGCCGTGTCTGCGCATCGCTGCAGCGCTGCAGCGCCCGCCCGCCCGTGGCCGGATCACGGCCGGGCCGGGCGTGCCGTGTCGGTGCCGCGTCGTCTCTGCTTCGACGCGCCGCCCGGCACCGGTTGCCACCTGGACCGCTGCCGGTCTGCGGCCTCTTGTATCAACCGCTTATCGCACGGGCCGCGGTGAGGGCGGATGTTATCTCTCACGTGCCTCCTCGCTAGCGGGGTTTAAGTCCGGGGGCAATCCAAGCCAAACACCGGGGTTTGTGGTCTGAGCCAGCGCGCTGATGCCGGTCTTCATTAAGCTGGGCAGGCGCAGTAAAAGGTCGTCACGCAGTGGTGCGATGCGCAAAGGTAAAGCGCTGCTGGATTGGGGCCATTTAGGGTCGTGCCCGTGCGATAGTAGTGTTACCAGGATGTCCTGCTCGTCCGTAAGACCCATCATCTGTCGACACGAATTTGGTTTTGCGGGATTGTCTGATAATGCCTTTGTTGATGCTGACCGATGGCATTACGTGCGGATTATCCCACCCTCCTCGTGGTCGCGTCTTGTTTGAAACCGTCTGGTTTTCGCATGGGGCGGCAGTGCTATGACGGTCCTCGGCCTTTTCTGCTGTGGGCACGCCAAGCTCACGTCCGTCACGGCTGGCGAGGCCCACACCGGTTGACTGCAGCCTCCGTCAGTATCCGTCTCGGTGGCGGTCCAGCCCAGTGGGGCGCCGGCTGACAGGCGATCCCCCCCCCCCCCCCCCCCCCGCCCATTGTTTCTCAGGTCGTGATGTGCCATCAATACTCGCGGCCGAGGATCGATACGATATTTGATGTTAGATGTCGGATATCGACAGGCAGAGGCGTATTCAGAAAAAAAAAACATTGGGACGCCCGTGGATGGTCCATGTGAAACAGCGGACATCGATATAATGAATCAATTCGGTCCCAAAAATTACGGCAACAGGACGCAGAGATAAGCTTTTGCTCCCATGCTCTTCTGAACAATGCACTCCAGTCCACAAAGACACAGACCCAGCAGCCACGTTACATCTGTGTATGTGTAATGGACCGCCGGACCGCCCGGCGTGGCTCGCCGCTGGCTGATCTGTGATGATTTTCGCCCACAGGGCCCACTGGGGTCCGAGTGTTCACTGTGCGCGACCGCCGGTCCCCAATCAGGGCTGACCTCTCTGACGATCCCAGCCCCGACTGGCGCCCAGAAGTTACTCTCCGCCGGTCCCCAGCCCCGGTTGACACCCAGCAGTCACTCTCCGCCGGTCCCCAGCCCCGGCTGACACCCAGCAGTCACTCTCCGCCGGTTCCCAGTCAGGGCTGACCGCTCTGGCGATCCCAGCCCCGACTGGCGCCCAGAAGTTGCTCTCCGCCGGTCCCCAGCCCCGGCTGACACCCAGCAGTCACTCTCCGCCGGTCCCCAGCTGGACTGATAACCAGCGGCTACTCTGCGCCGGTCCCCAGCCCCGGCTGACACCCAGCAGTCACTCTCCGCCGGTCCCCAGCTGGACTGATAACCAGCGGCTACTCTGCGCCGGTCCCCAGCCTCGACTGACACTCAACAATGACTCTCCGCTGGGCTGTTACTGGGCGCAAAATGACCCTAGAAGTCGACGTGCCCTAAAACCCTAATCATCATCATCACTCTCCGCCGGTCCCCAGCTCCGGCTGACACCCAGCAGTCACTCTCCGCCGGTCCCCAGCCCCGACTGACACTCAGCAATGACTCTCCGCTGGTCCTCAGCCCCGACTGACACACATAAGCTACTCTCTGCCGGTCTCCACCCTCGGCTGACCCTGCAGTGATTCTCCACCGGTCTCCAGCCCTGACTGGCACCCAGCAGTCTGTATCCGCCGGTCTCCAGCCCCAACTGACGCACAAGAGTCTGTCTCTGTCGGTCCCCGGCGTGGAGTGCACGCCATGGTTGAGCACGTTGGCGTGTGGTGCCCACTTTTGACCTGTTATTACCCTCACCCGCCTTCATGCAGGTACTGGCCTGCTCAACGGACTCGCAGTTCTGCCACCTGGCCTGGATCAACACGCCACGCAAGGAGGGTGGTCTGGGCTCCATGGACATCCCCCTACTGGCCGACAAGAGCATGGCGATCTCCAAAGCGTACGGCGTACTAAAAGAGGACGAGGGCGTCCCATTCAGAGGTGAGGTCGCGAAGAGCAGGACATTTTGGCATGCTCTGAAAATACCGCAAATGTTCGACGTGTCATTCAGCTTGAAGAATGCTTGTCGTTTTGTGGTCTGTCATTCAGCTTGAAGAATGCTTGTCGTTTTGTGGTCTCACTTAGAGAGAATGTTCTACATCTGAAGATATTGAAACAAGTATCAGATAGTGGTGAAATAAGCTTGGCTATGACTATCGATATGCTTCTCAGTGGAAAAGACTGTCCAATACAAAGCAAGTTGTTTTTTTATAGTAAGTATGCTTCTCAGTGCGTCATTGTTTCATTAGGTCATCAAATGTTTGAATGGTGTTCGAGGCACTGCCAAACTGACCGTGCGAAATTCCCGCCCCAGCATTCACGTGAAATACTTAAACCTGCGGGGTGATGGCACCGACGGTGCTGGATGTGTTTGTTAAGGCAAATATTGCTTCGGACTCGTGTTTGGGCCAGTTTTCGTGGTATTCTTGCATATTCTTCCGTGGGTTTAAGATGTTACCTTGTTTTTATATGCTCGGTTATGGCGGTGTTCTTACGTTATTCCATTAAGTCTTACTTTCGTAATATCTAGGACCCATGTTAAACTTTGCATATGCGGCATAAAACGTGATTCGTGTTTTAATCTTACACTACCTGCACAACATCGATCGAGAGCCATTGGAAGTCCGTTATATCTGGAAACCGTGCTCATGAACGGCAGACATGAATGACTTGCATCCTTTTTGGCCTTGAACGCTGCATAACCAATGAGTTGACAGTTTTTGAATGGCGTTTCCGTGACGTCATGCATGCCCGATTGATCTTGAAATAGCCCGCACATCTTCGCGGGCTGCTGTGACCTGTACCGAGTAGTCTTCAAGATAGTCATTTCAGTTCAAACTTCCATACAAATGTGGAACACCGTCTAAAAGCATTACCTTTAACCAAACCACCTGTGTGTTCCTGTTGAAGACCGCCTACAGGACTATGCTACCTAGTGGCGGCCCTAATTGAAATAGAACCCCATGGGCAAAATTTGCAGGGATAATTATTTCCGATATTCACGGTGATTAATTTCCGTGACGGCACATGGTAGTGCTGCCTCTGCAGCACGCGCACGCGGTAGTGCTGCCTCGGCGGCACACGGTAGTGCTGCCGCGAGCCTGCCCACCAGGCGCACTCACTTAGCCGCAGTACCCGCTGTTCTCGCTTCATTAGCGCCGCCGGCGCCGCCACAGTCGGTATATTCGCAACCCAATGAGAGTGCGCGCGCCCGGTGATGAGGCTGCGTTGCGCTATCCGCCGGCGGGTCTGACGCGTCACCGCGCGCCTTGCGTGACGGTGCCTGCGCCGGCCGCATAGCAGCGGCGGGTGGGCTGGCGGCCGCCCACCGGCGGCAGGAGACCGGGACGGCAGCCACGGGCTGGGCGGGCCGGGTCACGGGGTTCTACGGGGACTACCTTGGACGGGCCGGGTCGGTTGCCCCCTGATAGGCGGCTGGATGAGGAGAAAGGATCAGTGGACGGAGGGTAAAGAGTCATTAACAGGCTGATGCACGTCGCTTTAAGTGGAGTATTCCACCCTTTTTGCACTTTTTGGTTGTTACATGAGATGCGGATGATTTGATCAGCAATACCAGTTTTCTCGAAATCGTTCTAAATAGCTCAGACTTTTGGTTTGAAGTAGCCGGCCTTGCAGAAAAATCTTAATTGGATCCCTGCTCACCACTCTGAAAGCAGTACATTTCATGCGCCTTACTTTTTCCATCGTGTGCATTTTGTTATGTTTGCAACATACTAATGGGTCAAAGTGCTTGTTTGATAAATGCCACGAAAGTTTGAAACACTGTTTAGACAAAAAGATTTGCGAACATGAGGCATTCTGCGAATTCGTCGAAGCAGTTTGCTGTGCATTTGATTTTCCTCCTACGGCGTTTATCGCAGTGGCTGCTTTCGGAGGCTCAGTTTGGCTTTGGGAATGAGAGTATCACATGATGCATGTGACGCACCGGGTTTGATCTCCTACCAACCACCTCCTCGGCAACGGCCATCGCCAGCTGCGTCAAGCGCAATCGTTTTTATTCTTCCAATAGAGGTGCGCACGATGGTTGTCATGACGACGGTGGTCGCGACTGCGGGGAAGAAGCAAAATCCTGTGACAAGCGCTGGCAGCTTAATTTGGGCTCGAAAATGATTGGAATTGGATCATTGTCTTCACGGTGCTGTGGTGGCGCGACCCAGTACTACTATGCGACTGACTAGTCCCGTGCTTCCATTAGTGCTTTTTTTAATATGCCCCTTAGGTGGGACACTCCCTTTAAAGTGGTCATTTTCTTCACATAGTGCTGTTGCACGTTTCTTTTTGTTTATCGGACGGCTGGAAATGGTTGAATAAGATGGTTGTTTTCCATCGCGTTGGACCAAGATCTTCTGAGATCCCGGACCGTTTTGGAAATTTGTCGAAGGGTCCTTTGAATCCTGAATCTTTTTTTAAAAATGTCGTAGGATCTCCTGTGATCCTGGTTTTAATATTTTTGGAAGGATTTTGTTCGATGCTTTATTCTTTAAGTTGTTTTTTCCTGAAAAATATTGTGAAACATTAGAGCTTGTTTTAAAATTTCCCGTAGAATCTTTCAGGATCCATATGGATAGTTGTGCGAAGTATTTTAGATGTGTATGGAGGTAGATGTGTTGATGGTTGGTTGACCAATGAGATCAATGGTTGATAGGGCTGTTTATTTCACGATTTGAACCTCAACCTTCACCACTTCAGTAACTGGTGAATGTCATGGCTTGCTGGCATTCTGTCCTATTGATTCTGTCCTCAAGTCGTAAGTTTGCAATCTCCTTACCATAACTGCGAAAGAGGGTTTTCACTAAATTGTCTTTAAACGCTGCGGGTTTCCATGTTAAGTATTTCGTGTTGTTTATGAACATTACGTTCGAAAGTTAGCCCAGCGACAGCACATCCGTGCAAGGCGTACAATTTGTGTTCTTTTTGCGACACATGCGACCTGCTACAATTCAAGCGCAGTGATGCCGGCGTGTAGCGGAGCGAAACAGTGGCTCTTCATGGTTCCTGTGCGTGATAACCCGTCTCCGAGCGTGCTCTGTTTTGAAGCGTTTCACAATTTCTATTCCAGGACACTGGAAGAGAACTTATAATATTTTAACCAAACCCCGCTCAATTGTAAATAAAAGCTAAGCTAAACCGTCCAATATATATGGACCAGAGTGGCATCAAGTTCTAGCCGTGAAAATTGTCGTACGATTTCTCCATTGGTACAAGTTTTGGACACGTTTTTTTCTGAACCCGTAATCCCATCTGCCCACCATGGTCCGTTTGTGGAGAGGGCTTTATTGGCACGAAGGCCAAAGCAGTTACTGAAATTATCTCGATCACTCAAGTGTCTGGGTTGCAGCAGATTGACCGCAACGCAGACGTCAGCGGCATGCGACAGGAGATTAGCCGCAATTTCAGGAAAAAGCAGTTGTGGAAAGACCGCGCCATTTAATAGTTCCCGTCGATTTAGGTGAAATCGAGCGGTTCTCTGATTTTCTTTTTTCGAACGCATCAGCTTTTGCTTGTGGTGGCGATGGCGTGACCGCCGCCCCATGCAGCCAGGTGGTGGCTTTGCAATGTCGGCGTTTTCCGGAAGTGGTTTGGAATCGCGTGCACGGAACCGCGTTTCCGGACCTTTGATGAATAATGAACGGTTCTAAAGGCGCGGAAGGGCGCCATTCTGTGGTGAATGGTGCCAATGAGTGAGAGTAGTCCATTGTTGACCCGCAAGGGACGGCACAATGGCCGCATTCGTCGCACCGGAGGGGTCGTCGCGTTCCCATCCCGACGATGGGTAATGCAATGGGCCTGGTTCGGACCTGATGTCATTTCTTCGTCACGGAACATGTGTTCACAATGGTCGCCGCGTTTGGTAGGCGATGGAACTCGCCAGTTGGCTAACAGCTCTGCTGCTGCAATTATGTATCGTGCTCCACTTGTTGCCCGCTGTTGAGCCCCGTCAGCGCTATATTGACGTCTGTTCAGACCTGTCAGCGCTATATTGACGTCTGATCAGACCCATTAGTCACGGTCGGTCACGTGGAGAATGCGGTCCTCCCCGCCGGCGTGGGCGGCTGGTCGGCCGTTCCGGTGTCCCACTCGGCCTCTCCTTTCCAGGCCTGTTCATCATTGATGGTAAGAGCACGCTGCGCCAGATGATTGTCAACGACTTGCCGGTCGGCCGGTCGGTGGACGAGGTGATGCGGCTGGTGCAGGCCTACCAGTTCACCGACGAGCACGGCGAGGGTGAGTCGACAATCTGGTGGGCGATGGCAAACGTGGCGAGGCTTTAGTAACGAACACAGCGGTCACCGACGGACATGCGGGCGGACGGAATATTTGACGCACGCTGGTGTCGGGGATGAACGGGGCGAGATTGAGCGGTATCCAACCTGTCGGCTAGTCGGAGGGCTGGTCCTTTAGGTTTAGGACATCACTTGTTAACAATGTGGCTGCAACGCCTGGCGGACACCTGTACGCATCACTAGGGCGTCAGAGGCTCCAGAAACCAGGCCGCGGGATAGCCGTGATGGCACACGTTCACGTGTGGTATCTGACGCCCCTGTACCGTGCATTACCCATGTTTGTATGTCATGTCCTCATCGATCAGCAGTAGTCCATTATTTTTGCAATGCATGATTCATTGGATGGTGAATTCTGCCAATGCACTTGTGAAATTCAGCGAGCAATCTCGGCTTCTGTGGTGTTAAACGGCATCACGCGTGGCGCCAAAAATCGAAATGGTCACAGGCGTGGGCATCCAACAGCGTTGATTTGCATTCTTCTGTTTGCAGTGTGCCCAGCCGGCTGGAAGCCCGGAGAGAGCACCATGAAGCCCGATCCCAAGAAGAGCAAGGCGTACTTCTCCTCAGCGAACAAATGAGGCGCTGGGGCCTAGCGGCATCTACCGAAACTCAGAGAACCTGTCATTCCGCTTCGCCCACCGCCAGATGGCAGAGGCTCCGGGCAGCGGAGAATGCAGCACGCCCTTTCCACTCACTGTAGCCCTGTTTTGTGTTAGTGATATTCTGTTATCTGGTCATCTTGTCATGAATAAATGAGCATTTTGAAATGTCCGCCTATATGGAGGTAAGAAGCCGACTTATTGAGACAGACGATACGAAATTTGACGAAACCAAAATCAATCCGATGGTATTGTGGCTGTATGTCGTTGTTAAGTTTGTTACTTTAGCCATTACCTAACCCACGGCTGTTGATATACCCATGGATAAGCTGTAAATTCTCTCAGCTGGTGGTCCATTAATGACCCCGACGCTGCCTGCCTTACAATGCCAAGGTTGTTCAATGAAACCAGCTGAGAATCAGGGGTTCAATTTAAACATGAGTCGACTGGTTCAAAAGTTGAATTGGCAAAAAAAAATGAAGGTGGAAAAACAAAGAACCATGTGGTCTCAAGGACAGTAAACCGACATTGAAGACAACAGAGACAAGTCTAGATAGAGAAGTTCGAAGAGACTTTGACCGACAGGAAGTCCACGGAGCAGTCCAATGCTTCAGACGCGGACGCCGTCTGCTCTCTTGCGGCCGCATCGCGTACCACTCTCCTCTCCCCAGCATAAAATGTCTGGAATACTGAAGTCGTGCGCGGTCGCGCTGCAGACGAGGGCAGTTCATTTCAAGCAGTTGACTCAGTTTGGCATTCTATTTAGGCTCATCGGTAGCAGATTTTGTAAGGTGGAGCTAAAACCCCGTATACACTCGTTTTTGTCTTTTGAAAGCACCGTTCTTACTGCGTCCCTCTTTTCCCCTCCCCCAGCGTAGCAATTCCTTCCTGCTTTGCGTAGCAGGGGGTTCATCATATCTAAGGCAGATTCAGCGACGATTCAGCCGGTCGGGCAAGGCGCCTGAGCGCACAGACCGCGCCGGGAGGGCCGCTGCGGACCTGGTCGAAAACAAGATTGTCAGGGCGAGAGGCCCAAAAGCATGCCCAGGGCTGGAAGCAGCCGGGGAACGGGGTGTCCAGCGGAAACATGTCCCACGTCTCTGCGTTCGCGCCGCCCTGGGGTCGATAGAGCGCTAGCGGACGACTAAAGAAGGCCCGTGCAGAACCGAGCAGCAGACCGGAGCCGGACCAGCTGATGCAACCTATCCGCCCCGTGGGAAAGTTCTGAGTTCGAAACCGAGCTCGATCCCGAGCCCAGTCTCTCAGTACGCAGCAAAACTCCACGACAGCAAAACCTCAGGGCCAGGCATGACTCCGGGGCATACCGACTGTTGATATCAGAGGCCCTGGGTCTGTCCCGGGGCAAGAAAGAGCCCATGCAAAACGGACCTGAACATAAGCACGAACGGGAGCGAACCTACCCAATCACCGAAACCTGGGAGAAGAGGCTTGTAAAACAAAACTGACACGAGCGTCACATTCGCGGGGCCAATCAATCATCGGACCAGCACGATCCCAGCGGGGAGCGGCACTCTGGCCCGGGGGACCTCAGTGGACGGAGGCGCAGGGCCGTCGAGACCGATGACGTCATTCGGTTTCTCAGTCTGGTCTAGTCCTGAGAGGGGTTCTGCGCAGAATTGATGACGGACAACGTCCTGCAGTTCACTAGTGAGAAATGTCGCCAGCACCTCTCCGAACGTGGGATGAGGCACACCACCTCTGCAGTCTATTGACCACGCGGCGACACCGCAGTGGAGCGGCTCAACCGAGAGGAGAAGGCGTGGATCCACGAGACCACGCAACTGGCGCCACACGCGGCTGCGAAATTCGCTAACCACGTGCGACAGCGTCTCGCGCAGTACAGGGTAACGCCGCACTGGGCGGCCTCAACCTGCCGGTCGCTACAGTGGCGCCACCACGCGGCAGCGCACTCCAGCGCCGGCTCGAGACGCAGCAGCGACGCAACAGCCGCAGCCAGGGCGCCGGACAAGCCGCCCGACAGCCAGACCTCCAGCCTCCAGCCTGGCAACATTGACCGCGTGCGGAAGCGGGGGCGCGTGCCCAAAAACCACAGCAGGTCCTCCAGCCCACTCCGCATCGCGCGACAGCTCGGACCGGTCACGTTCCTCCCGTCGGACGGCAGCAAGCGGAACGCCGCGCACCCTGGCCGGACCGCCAGGCGACAGCGTGAGGCCACCGCCCCAACGCCTACCGGCGACGGCCTGGCTGCAGCCTTCACGCCAGCTGACGCCGCCGCCAAGTCCCGGCACGACCCGGCCAGGGTCACCACAAGGCAGCGCCAACACCGCACGACCTGACGGTGCAGGTGGCGGGCCCCCAGACGACGCTGAAGGCGGGCGCCACACAGCGCTGGAGACGCGCCACCAGACGGCGCTGATGTGGCGGCGCCAGATGACGCCCGCGCCCAGCCACAGACCGCTAGCGGTCGCCCGCTGACAGAAGTGGCCCGAATCGCGAACTGCCACCTCCCTCGAAGGAACGCCGTCGCTATCTATACAGTCCCGGCCACCCGGCCATCTTGAAATACAGTCTTACGTTGAAGCCGCGTGTGTGATTTCGTCCGTAGCCCCGGCGGTTCAAGAACACTAAGGATCGTCCATCCGCCAGCTTCAAATCTTGAACGAAAAAGCAAATGTCAGTTTGTTTTGTTCCTAGTATTACGCAAAGAGCATCAACGAAAGCTTGTACGCCAGATCAGCGAAGAAATCAGGCAGTGCATAACATTCAGGCTTGACAGCTTGACCAGAGCGTAGTCAAGCGATTACAGTGTCATTCATGTGTAACAACGCGACGATTCTTCAGTGGTTCCCTGTCACACAGCATCGATCAGAGCGGGCCTACAGGCGATGCGCCACTGGACGTGACTCTCCTTATTCCGACATTGTCAGTGCATTCTGAAATTCAGTTTCATTCAAACTCAGACCGAATCAAGAACCACGTTAAGTTTCCGTGCATCACGCTCCACTGGGCTAATATTTTAAGCTGCGCCTTTGGTAACAAGTGATGCACGAGAAGAGCTTAGAGCGTAGAGTTCTGTCAATACAGGCCGTGCTTGCTTGATAACATCATTTAACCGGTACCTCCTGGCAGAGCTGTCATTATATAAAATTGCTTGAGAAAGGGGCTGAGCCAGTAAAGTTGATCCAACCTGCCCCAAAATCCAGACTTTCCCAGGATTTCGACCCCTTTGCTTTACCTCACTGACGCAAAAAATTGCTCCATTCAAAAATCATTTTGATGTTCAGGGAAGGCCTCCAATTTCGAGTCGACAGGATAGTAACCACGATCATATATATATATATATATATATATATATATATATATATATATATATATATATATATATATGCACACCACGTGCCATGCCATGCCACATGTTCACCCCGTCAGGTCATGTCGCATGCTATGCCAACACCACACATGAACGTCTAAGAGAATCTAGCATCTGAAACCATCTAAATGAATAATATGATAAAAATAGACATGATATATACATTTGTACATATATACATATATGTGTGTGTACATATATATATATATATATATATATATATATATATATATATATATAATGAAGATGAAGATAATGATGGTGATGATATTAATAGTGATGGGCTCCGGTACCAAGTGCATTAGCAGTTCAGACACTTCCTGCATTTCATTGGCCCAATATACCCTTTTGCCTACATGCATTGGGGAAGGAGGGTGGGAGCAGAATACCACTGAGGGAGCTTAAAGGGAATGTCCACGTCTGAAGATATTGAGGGAAGCATTGGAAGGAGGGAAGCACATAAAATCAACTCACTTATAATTTAACATACTTTTAGGTGAAAAAGACCGCTCCAGAAAACAATTTCTTTATCCCGTAAAAATGCTCCTGACTATGTCATTGTTTGGTTCCGTCGTCACGCCCTGTGCAACATTGATTAAGAGTCAAATGACGTCCTGTCGTATCTGGAAATCGTGCTCACGAACGTTAAACATGAACGACTCGACAATTGTTTTTCCTTGCCCTTGATCATCACATCACCAATGGAATGGCAATATTTAAATAATGCTATCATGACGTGAATGATGCTTGGTGACCTTGAAGAAGTATGCACGAAGAAGTCCGCTCATCTTAGCGGGCGTATAGCTAAGAACCTTGAGGCCTTTAGGTATTAAGAAGTGCAGGGCTGTGAACAGCACCGAATGAACTTCAATATGGTTATTTCAGTTCAAGACCCGTACAAATGTGGAGCACCCCCTTTGATTCAGCATTAGAGAAGGCTCAGACCCTCCCTGAAAACATACAAGTGACTCCCTCGCCTCCTCGCATACTGAAGGTCTATTAACATCAGGATAAGCGCTCCCAAGTCATAATGGCGAAACACTTCTGGCCTTCATTGCGCTCACAATAAAACGTTGTGATCCATGAACACAACGGAAATAACTTCCAACTGCAGCCTGAACACGTGCCAAGCAGGGTGGTGCCGTGGATTTTGAGTTGGGGGGTGCAAGATTTTCAGGGGGCCTCCTGAACAATGTGGGGTCTCCTCACACAGGGGACTCGTGGAAAGTGTCGTATTCAAATGGGAGGGGCACCAAGTGCATGTGCCCCTTTCACATTGTTACATGTATGATATCCAAGCTTCGCTCAGAATGGGCAGCCTTCTGATTATCCAGCAAAGGTCCTAAAACAGAGCCTCATTTCCAGAAGAGGTCTTCTGATGCATACAGGAGGCCTCCTTATCCAGAACAGAATGCTTCCTATTTGGGGGAGGGGGCCTACAAATATAGCGAGGGGCTCTCATTATCCCAGCATCCTGATATGGAACCGTGGCCATCTCAAATACGGAAAGGATTTCCTGTTCCAAAAATGGATCCTCCTGAATGCTAAGGTTCCCTCCTAACCCAGAACAGGGCCTCCTAGTTTGTGACGGGAGGCCTCCCGAACCAACGAAGGGCATTTTTAACATAAAATTTGGATTTTCTGATCTAGAACATGGACCGGATTCATAAAGATGGCCCGATGCTCAGAGAACTGGCCTGTTCATGCACAGCAAGACTTCTGAGAACGATTTGATTATTCCCTAGCTCAATTATGAGGGCCTCCTTATCCTGAATTTTGGAAGTCTACGGGTAGCTACAATACCTTCAGTTTGGGACATATCGGCCTCCCAAAAATTTTGAGGGGCAACATCCTCTTTAAATAGAGGGCAAATACGAATGTTGGGTGAAATGAGTGGGTTAAGACATACCGTGCCGGCAGAGCACAAGTAAGCCTCTCGGTACAAAATTCGGACATTAGGCTTAGATTTAACTATCGAATGGTGGAAGAGTCAAAGTTTACACAAGCACAGCCAACCGTGGGCTCGGATCCGTAGGGCGTGGGGGGGGGGGGGTCACGGGGGTCACGTGCCTTTTAAGTCCCAGGGGCCAACGGGCCCCTAGGATCGACGATAAAATGCCCGATTTCGGGGTACGAGCTCTACGATGATTGAGCTCATCTATGTGTTTCAAACGCGAGACGCAGGAGCGCGGGAACTATGCTGAATATGGAGAGGGGCAAATTCCAAATGACAAAATGGCTTCCTCAGAAATGATACAGGGCCCCTACAAGCCGGAATTTGCCCCCCACGTCAACAATAGATCTTCTGGTCAGAAAAGGCCCAAATGGCATAGGCGTAGGAACGTTTCGAATATCGGGGTACTAGGCTAAGGCATATGGAGCTTCAAGTGGGAACCGAGTCCGGTCATCGGAAAAAGCGGGGGGGGGGGGGGCGGGGGTAGAGGTGGAGGACATTACCCTAGCCCAGGTCGCATGACGTATTTTGGAAATAATTCAATGCCACGGGTGCTATGCTAGATGTATATCTTCACTGCATCACACTGGTGCACAATCCTGCCTACCCGACTCATCTTGGCCATTTGGAAAATGACTATCCAGCTTCCTGAGATTATCCGTCCATTTTAGCACTGTTTTCCCTTGGGAGGCGGATGTCCCCGAGTGGGTAGACATGTGGGCCATTGGGAGGCATCCGCCTCCACAGTGTAGATACCGAAATACGACCTGGGCCCAGGCTGGTCAGAATCGGTAATGTGAATCAATCGCTCATAGTGCGACATCATTTTTGAGCGCCTAGATTTCACCGGCTGCTTGTCAGGAAATAACTATTTGTCACAGCATTTTATGCGGAAACAAATTCGGAGGCTTCAAATACTAACGGCCAAAACAAGGTTGTGAACTAATAAAACCGAAGTTCTCCTGTAAAAAAACAATTCAAAGAAAAATGCCCTTCTTCCCGATAATCCTCACCCGAGCCCTGCTCTCACGTGCCGCCGGCGACCACTGCCCCGGCCCGGCTGTCTCCCGCACGACGGACTTCAAATCAGGCGCCCAGCCAGAGCCTTGGCAAGGAGAGGCACAGGGTTGTCAAAGGGCCCTTTGATAGTGAAGGGGCCCACAATCGCCGGATATGGTCCATTTCTCAAAAATGGCATGTTTTGATGTATTTATTTTCGGCTTCTATAACTGGAACAGAAGTCAGAAGCTCCCGAGAGAACATTTCTACCTTACTTTTGTAGTCAATAAACTAAAGAACTGCTAAAATAAGCTGCTTTAAACGACTGCACGAAATGTAGCGCCGACACTGTTCATTTCGCCATGGTCCAATTAACTCTTTCTAATCTGATAGAACTCAAAAGTTTTATCTAAGTCGAAGTGGGTCAGTAGTCCGCATTAACATGGCCAACCCACGCTTCTCGAGAAACGTTCAACATTCCGTCAGAATCGTTTAGTGATACAAACCATACCAAGCCAAAGACTAGCGAGAGTTGTATACCGTTTTCATGAAATTTGCCAGCTTTAGGCTGCGTTAGCTTATTGTAAGCATTTCTTGGATTTTTTTACTACATGATAGATCCATCCTTTCTCTACAAAACGCACCCATCCCCATAATTCCCTACACTTTGCCTACGGCTGCCCTAGCAAATTGCTCTGTAGGAATAAATTTACTGCACTTGGTTGTTTTGGGCATATATTTAACGCATCTCATCATGTCGAGGATAAAATCCACGCATTTAATTATCCTTACGTAGTTTCGAACACGCGCGTTCGCAAATACTCGCAACAAAAACCTTGATACCAGGCTGTCTCCATAGACCGCTCAGCGTTCGCCCAGCAGCTGATACTGAGCCGTTCCCAACGGGTAGATGACAAAGATGACGCTTCTAAAGGAGGTACCTTTGAACGCTTAGGAAATCACATCTTACATTAACGATGTAGTCCACGCGAGTATTTCACATGTACACTTTTAAACTGATAAGAACGGACTGGTTATTGCAGCACCGCGAATTGGTGCTGCAATCTGGTGGTGGAACTGGAAGAGCCCGGGGCCGATACAAAGTTGGGTGCACGGGGTCGTGGCCCCCCTGGGCCCCGAAAGGCCCATAGGCTCCGAAGGGACCCTGTCACCCGAACAGTTGTAGTTTTTTATGCAGAACAGTCGTAAGCAAAAATGAACGCCCCATGAGTAAGAATAGTTTCTCACTGATTAAGACGGTGGTGATCGGAAGACTTGAAGGTTCATCACCCTATCCAGAGGTCTCATGCTGTTTCCTGGGGACCTATATGCTCACTTGCAGGATCAATCCCGTTGTTGAGCCTTCCACGTTGCCCTCGATTTGCTTGCATTTATTCGGAGGTCCCTGCGCTGTTGCTGGGCCCTTCCTGCTACCGTGTCGGGGTGCTCTTAGGGCCCTTCTACGGATTCTTTCCATTTGCCCGAAAGGCTCTGTCCGCCATAGCCGGGGACCCCATATGCTAACCTGCCGAGGCATTCCCGGTTCCACACTTCCACACGTGAGGCGCCCTTGAAGGGCGCTTCACGTTGGTCTCAGTTAGCCTGCCGACAAACTCGCGACATGCTCATGGGCCCTTTATGTTGATTTAGGGCCCCTCCAACTCTCTGCCCCTTGCCTAAGGCCTTTCCCTCTTTTGAGGGGCCCATCTGTTTGCCTGCTTAGGCACGCTCGGTGGTCAGGGGCCGTCCAACTTGGGTTTTGCATACCTTCTATGACAATAGAGGGCCATGTACACTGGTCAGGGTCCCACCTGTTAACCTACACAGGCAAGATGTGGGGACATTTTCAACTGTTCCTATGATTATTCTGGTGAATCTTTTGGCTTCTGACATGCCTAACTCCTCAAACTGGACAGCAATTTTACTTTCAGTCAAGCCCAGGTCACATGCATGCCAAGTTCCCTTTGAAGTGTTCCTCCTGGCATCTAGCTGCACAACACATTCCTCACCCTGAAAGTTCTTTGCTCTCAGAAACTTTCCAGTTTGGGTTCTGGTTCCTTGTTCTGATGAGGAGGCTGCCATCACCAAGCAGCCTGGCCTTCTCAGCCTTTCCTTTCTCTCTAAGAACATTTTGAATACACAGCTGTGTCCATGGCCACCCCTTGCAGTTATGTGGTTGTCCAGAACTTAGCTGCATTCTGAAGCTGTAACTACCTCATCTGAAACATCTGACTGAACCCACTTGATTGGTCAATGAGTATGCATAGACTCCACATATGATCACACTTCAGAAACATAATATCACTCCTGTTCCTTAATCCACTCCCAGAAATATGCACAAAAGCCTCACCACCACTACCATACTTCAAAGCAGTCTTGTGAAGTCTCCTATACCAAATTGAGAACCAGCCTCAGCAATCTTTAAAATATCACTCTCCTGCAACCACCTGTCTCATGTCCACTCCACAGCTATCATCTGCACCCCATGCTGACATGAGCCCAGCTAGCCCACACAGGGCCCATATGAAATAGGTTCCCCTAATGTAAGTGTTCTCTTTCTACTTGACATGGTAAATTTTGATGGCACAGTACAATGCACAAATACTTCTGAAGCATGTAGAAACATGACATGATGTGGATGCCCCATACAGGACCTAGCTAAAGCCTAGATAAAAGCCCATCTGCAGCACATGCCAACATACCCAGCTGCCCCACATTCATACCATGGAGGCCCCATTTAGGAATGCTGGCCAGAATGTTTGCTGCCTAGCAATTTACAGCCTATGGAGAACAATTTTTCTTGGATACAGTTGTGAGTGAAAATTTATTTCTACAGCCATAACTGTTTCTTAGTTGTGTGTGTCATTGGGGCGTTACGCCACTCAGCTGCTGAGGCTATATGGCATCCCCTGCCTCTCATCCTGGCAGGAAGGGCGGCCACAGCGGGTAACCAAACCCCAGTATCTCAGGTTTCCCAGACGTACAATGGTTAAGGTTCTTAGTTGTAACCACTTCTTTAGGTTTTAGCATGTCTTATAGCTCTGTGTGCCTATTTGATCACGCCTGATGCTTGCTTCAATTGGTTTAAATGTAGAATGTCCATCTTCAGCTCCTCAAAAATGCAGCAGGCCTCTGCAGTAGACAATGACCTAGGGTCTGCATTTACTCTCACAAAAGCTCCATGCCTTTTGAAAAATCGTAGTAAGTGGGCCACCCTCAAAATACAGCGGCCCTCAGGCTGCTTCCTTAAACCGGAGGGCCCTTCGTTGGTAAACTGCCCCCCCCCCCGCACACACCCGCACTCCGGGGACGCTATCGAGCCATGGCCCCCACGCCTACTATTCCACTTTTCTTTCCCTTGTAAGAGCGCTGTCGGGGTACAAACGTCCTTGAAAGTAGCGTATCCATCACGATCCATTTATTTCGTGAGCCTTCGAGATGCTTCGACAACATGGCAACGACAAAAATCAAATATAAGTTTTATGACGTCATTTGACGTTACCGGTAGCAAAATGTTCGAACGTTGACGTGGTACATGACGTCATCATAGACGCTGCATTACCATCGAAATTTCCGGAATTATGCCGGCAAGCCATCGGGGTGCGGCGCGTGCGCGGCGTGGGACCGTTCCTTAGTCTGCGAGTTGTCGGCAGGCGTGCGGGACCTGGCGGAGTTGTGAGGTGGTCGGCGAAGTTAGAGGTGAGGTTATCCGCTTTGTTTTATGTCGTCGATACTCACCCGGCATTACTGTGTCGATGATGAATGGTAAGTGGAAAGATGTGTATTAATCCAAGGTCTCTGGCTGAAGAATCTGCTGGCGCTGTGGCGGTTCCTCATGGTTGTGACCATATAAGGAAATTCTCCCCATGTTAAGTACTCTGGATTCGGTCAGCGATGTAAGCTTAACTGAACATCTCCTTGCTTGTTTTTTTCTTGGTCATAAAACTCAATGGTTATGTATATCGTACCTTACCCGTATCTGCATTCTATGCTTGATCACATGCCGGTCTGCTAAACGTGGCAGAAGTCAACAATGCCACAAATGGAGCTTCCACCTTACCTGCTTGTGGCAGGAGCATATGATATGATGACCAGTGGTGTGGTCTCCATGATTTTCCTCACAGTTTAATTTGCCCCCACATACCATTGATTACCCCTACTGCTCTGCTCCACATTGGTCAGAGTTATGCTTGATTTACTATTCCAACATTTTGCATGGTATATTTTTGTTATCAATTCACAGCATTGCAAAAATGTGAAAAATGGTTCTCAATGTGAATGTCAAAATCCTCCAGCTTCAGAGCCACCATGCTGACACTGGCCTGGCTTGTGTATAGTCTTTGCCTATGGTTTGCCCAGTTCAGCACAAGCAGCAGAATTGGATTCAAGCTGAATGCTAGCATTTTCATCTGAGCATTTGAATTTGATTGCTGTATCTCTGAATACAGGGACTTTATGTTATCCATCACACCCAGGCCCATATGTGACAATAGGATGGCAAGAAAGATGACTGACAAAATGAATATGGTGCATTAAACCTTTGGTCTGCCCCTGCATTTTTCATTTGTTGCCCCTCCAGTTTTTTTCCACCATGGTGTAGTTCCTGGTTCTGCACCATCATTGCCATCAGTGTTGAAGATTTCAAAAAAAAATCCTGGTTGCAGGGTACAAATTTTCTATACTCAAGAAAAGTGCTGTTTTTCATATACAGCAATTCATGTAAAAACATTAAATGAAAGGAAACATCAGTATAAAACATGGCACACTGAAACAACACAGTATCATACTCTGTACTGTGAAACACATGTGCATATACATTGGTTAGCAATTTATGAAAGGCTCTGTGTATATGCCCTCCAAAACAGAGGGTAATTATGCATCAGGCTTATACACTCTCCAAAATGGTGGGTGGCTACACACAGGGCTTGTACACCCTCAAAAGGGGAGGGTGGGTAGGATATGCACAGCCAGAAAAATATGTTGCACAAAAAATGCAAATGAACATGCCACAGACGGCCACCTAATCATTCTCCACCACGATCACACTGCTCACGCTCCACCACGGTCATGCTACTCACGCTCCACCAGCTAACCAGTTTTAAAAACAGCTAAACATTCATGCCCTCCACCTTCCAACTCCCGGTCAACACACGAGGCCCTACAGGTCCCACCGGAACAAAAGAGATTGGCAGCACTCTCAACCGATTTACGGAGACAGCAGACAGCGCATGTACAATGCCTGACAGACCCGTGCAGGCCGGCCAAAAGGGATCGGAGTCAGTCACTCCGCTGACTCCGGCGGATAATGCAAAGTGCTAATGGATTTTGATGTGCTTTAACTGATATAATTGCAAAATATGATAATTTATGTTGAACTTAATCCACGTTTTTGCCCTAATAAACTATTCTCTTTAATTTTCCAGGTCAAAGTTATAGGTTCATGTTACTGTGGTGTCTTGGTGTTTTTGCCGGAGTGAGATGGGTGTCTCCGAACAGTTTTTTGGCTATTTATAGCAACGTTTTTCGACTTGAAAGGGCATTTTTGTAAGGCCTGAATTGCCAGCTTTAATTTCACACCCTCAAGTGATAAATTTAAGTTGGTTTAAATCCACAGCTGCCGCCACATTTTTGTCCTCGGGATACCAGAAAGTGGTAAAAAATCCAACCACATGGCAGTCCTGGATGAGTACAAATAAATCCTTCATAATCGTGATGTCTATCTCTATACAGCTTGCCTCCAAATGTTTGCAAATCTGTTCAAGGCATGAGCACGAGCAGAATATTTACGCTCTTGACAATCAGTCACGAGGAGGTGAATCATTAAAACCAGTTGGAGAGTTTGCTATGTTAAGCCTCCAACCTGAGCTGTGAGGCTGTGCGCAAGCCGCTGAATAGAATAGTTGAAGCGTTTCCGACACTGAATTGCGAGTGATTCTCTTATTTGCATTACCATGACACAGTGGTGACGCGTGGGTAGGCGGCCGGCTGCGGTAGGTAATTGGGCGTGCGATTTTCTATGCACGTTCGTTGCATCCTTTGCAATTAATGCGATTCGTCGTCGGTGGTAGGTTAAGTCATGTTCAGGTTTGAGATGGTCTGCGTAGGGCATAGGAAGTGAGAGCTCTGCTAATCTACGGACCGGTGCGATCTGCCACTAGTTTCTCATTTCCCGGTATTGTTCAAAGGCAATTCCATTCAACATTCACATGCTTTATTTTTCACATTTCTGTACATGGTTTATCATATACCTAGGTGGCAGCACAGGCTGCTCGCTATTGGGCATCCTAGTCTGGTGGGTGCAAAATTTGTGCTCTTGCAGATATGAATACATAGCTCCTGATGGAAGCAGCAAGTCTCAAGCTGTTGCACCTTCTGGTTTTATTTTGTCCTGACACAAAGAGGCAAAATGAGTTTTTCCAAAAGCTGTTCTTGTTGCATCAAGATGGAGTACACAATTTCCCATTTTACCTATTCACAATCCTGGAGTACAAGATCTGGTATACATTATACCAGGAAATGTCAAGCTTTCCAACACTGGCCCAAAGTTATTTGAACCCACCCAGCCACTGGGTTGATTGGAAGGCAGCCACTCTAACAAACTGAGCCAGCAGGACAGGGAGTTGGTCATTTACATGAAGAAAATATGATAAAACTGTTTATACCTTTCCACGCTAAGATAATCTCGCCCAATCTTTTCATCAGTGAAGAGCATCTATTAATCCTGTACATCAGCATCAATTGCTCTTAAGTGTGATGTGAGGCCTGAATGGAGGGCCTCACATGAAGTTAGGATTTTGGCATGATGGCATCTTAGCCCTACATTGACTGGGAGGGGGGCAAATCTGCCCTCCCCTCTCCAATATTCACAATAATTCAAAAATAGTGTAAGATATTGCTGCAAGCTTTTCAGTAGCTTTTAATTGATGACTTCTTCACATTGTGTCAAAATAGCGATTATGCGACCATCAAAGATCAATCATGAGCAGCATCATGCTTGCTGATTTTTTACAAAAGTGCACGCCGACAGATGCATTGACATAGAAGCTGAATGAAAGAACATATTTTACACCTGTAAATGGGAAATGTGAGCCGATAGGTCCATTATTCATGTGCCTTGTTGTTTTGCGTTAATATGGCATGTTGAAATAATGGCAGTCAAATAACAAAAATGTTTATGAAAAGTACACTGAACATTTATTGCTGTCAGATTCAGAATTATGAGGACATGTAAAAGGAGTCCTGGATACGACTAAAGAGGATGCCTGCGCCAAGTTTCAAGCTATTATCTGTTACAATGATTGAGAGTTAAGGCTCACAGTGCGTTGCCTCGCGTGTTGCCCGTGCCCTCGTCACCCGCGGTGGCGGGCGCCGTGGCTCAGGCCCGCCGGAGTGGCGGATTGACGGTGGAAGCCGGCGGTGGAAGCCGTTTATCAGTTTTACACGCAAACTGACGACCACGTGACAAGCGACGGGGTTGAAGGATATCAGATTGCGGTGTCGGCAGGACTGAACCGTCGAAAACAGCACGAAAATCAGTCCAGCGGCTTGTTCACCACGCAGGTCATCCATTTGATGTTCACCTTTTACGGTTCATGAATAAGTAGCACCTCTTGCCCACGTGTCTGGTACCCATAATTGCGGCTACTTTTCCACTTCGTGTTAAAATGGCTCAAATATGACGAAAACGAAGAGACCAAAATAGGTATATAGAGTAAGGTTTCAGTTGTCATTTACGCAGCACGCGACCGTCGTTCTAGACCTAGTGCGGCCCTTGTAGCAATCAGGGTGCATTGATTTCTCACCATGATATATGCCTCTAAATGAAGTGCCTTGTGGGAACGGTCAGATATCGCAAAGTAGCATATTTTTTAAGGTGATCTTGACCTGTGACCTTGACGCACACTGAAACTGGACTTCGTTGTGTGGTCTGAGGCCGCACGCCACGCCGCTATTGATTGAAGTTTCATGTTTTGTTTTAATTCAGCCCGGCTGTTCGTGAGCTCAGCAAGGACGGTGTCAAGTCTGCCCCTCTCCCCGCCAATGATATGCCACTGAGGGGCCTGGTTAATCTGGAGTAAGCTAGAATGTGACACACTCAAGTTTTACACATGAAAAATTTTTGCTCTTGCGTGGATAATCTAACAGTTAGTTCGTATTTTGGCGGCATAGTAGTCATAGCCATGTGGCATATGATGCCGAAGAGGGTAAATGTTTTGGTATTGATTTTTCTGCTGATTAGTGGCCATTTGGTTAATGGGTTACTCGTATTTGGATTACTGGCCCTTTCAGCCAGTAAGAACCATTCAAGGGTATGGATGATGATGAGGGCTAACTAGTATACAGTTTTTGAAGCTTATATGGTGAGAATGCTGTACAGTATGACAGTGTGTCCAGTGACTGAGATGGTAATGGAGACCGCCTTCTAATTCATCCGCCCATGGTGAAGACGGCGTGCGTGATGTTAGGTGCTCACTGTTTATGGCTGAATAAAATGGCTTGTGTCCAGAGGCAGTGGCTATGCTAAAGGTCAGGTGATAGCAGAGAGCAGGACAGGCTGCTAACTATTGCAGCACAATAGCTTTTCCGCAAAATTCTGGCATCTTTACAGTCACAGTCAAATGCCAGGATCACGGCACACCTAAACATGCTTTGTTTGGGATGAGTGCTATTCCGTGAAATGTATGTCATCAAAAGAGGATTTGCATAAAATCTTTGTTATCAGAAAAGGTGCATCTATTAAATGCTACAATCACCCCTGAAACAATATTACACACTATGAAAAATATTTTCACACAGAACAAAATACAGAGTTCTGTTAACCTTTTGTTGTGCACTGCTATCTACCATGGAGCACCACTGAGTTGCTGATGCGGACTTCTTTCATTAATAATCATCAATGATTTGATCATCATCATGTGACGCTCCTAGGTAAAACAAAACTTCTGGCAACAGTTGGTTCATAGGGAAAACTGGCAGGCATCACGCAGCATATGTTGTTTATATTTTTGGTCATGTGTTTCATGTCCCTTCTCATTGTTCAAGGATGAAGTTTAGGTGTGATTTGTTGTGAGCAAATGGAATTCAAGCAAAAGCCTGGGTTCCAGCTAGCAATAGGAACATGCTTTCAGAATGCTTCCTCGGTGTGTTCACTTGGCTGAGATAGTATGCATCCTATAAAAATGTGAGGTGTGGTTGTGGGATAAGCCTGGGTGCACCAAAGTCACAACACATTCGCACTTGTATTCAATTTGATGGCAGTTGCACGTGTCATCATTTGTCAAACTTCTTATATTATGATCCAAACAGATGAACAATATGCTTGAAATGTCCCCATCACTTTCATAATGACGGGGATAGTGTGTTCTTACTCCGAAAAAAATCAGACGATATGTGCAATATGACATGTCCATGACATGTTTTTCCTAATACTTCATTCTGCATATGAAGGTAGTATGAGAGCCTGCTGGGAGCATTTTTCCTGATGCAGACCCCAGCATGATATTTGATGCGGGAATATGATGCATTGTGGGCAAGAGCAGCTGGGTAAGGCATCAGATGGAGTTCCGTGTTGGTGTATGCGACTAGTAAATGGTAATTTGACATTGTTGTAGACCATTTTTCCTCAGCACATTTGTGCCCATTCCGTGATGGTGATGCAAATACTTGTTTTCTTTTTCAGTGACTAGAAGGCACATAAAAATGTCCGTTGTCGGCATTGACTTCGGGAATGAGTCGTGCTGTATTGCCGTCGCAAGAGCAGGTGGTATAGAAACCATCGCCAATGAAGCCAGCCAGCGTCAAACGTCGTAAGTATTCTGTCAAAGCTGGTCTATTATGTGCGGTGTCTGGCTTTCGCTTTTTGTGGGTTAGTTTCTCGATAGTTGAGCAGTTTGGCGAGCCACATGTATGTGTTCAACCCATGATCATATTTCTCTGCCATTTTTGCGTAAGTCAACTGGTTGAGGTAGCTGTTCTTGAAGGTCGATTTAGGCCAGTGACATTTATAACCTTCCGTGGCAGATTATCACATGGAGATGAGCAAATGACATTGAAGGAAAGTTTAAAGACGGATGAGGACGGCGGGTTGTGCTAGTAGAATGGATACAAAAGTTATGGGTGAAGGTGGCCTACGATGGTGATCTACGTTGTGGGTAGAAGTGACTTAGGGCGGTGATGCACGATAAACTTTTGGAGGAAATATGTCACCCGCAGGTTAGAAGTGTTGACCGAGTTTTAAAAAAAATCGACACCTGGTGCATGTAGAAGGCATTTTCCCAAAGACGGGAAGGAAAGGGACGGTAGGCCAATGTCCCATAATGACGGCAGAATGCAATTTGGAGGTCAGGTGGTGAAAATGGTGCGTGGAGAGTAATCAGACGAAGAGCAGCCACGTTAAAATACGTATGAGTGAATGCCATATTTAACCACGTTTTGGCTCTACGTGACATTGGTGGTGATTTGGGTTTTAAGGGCGCGTCGGCATCGGGGCCATTTTGCGCCCACGCTCTACGTGACATTGCTTGAGCTTGTCTGTCTGCTGCACATGGCTCCAAGGGTATATTAACATGCGCATCCATATGTGGCCTCTGGTTTGGCCTCATTAAGTATCCGTAGAGTCTAATAACCGCTAGGTTTTGTCATGGGCGCTTCATTAAAGGAAGTGTTTCACATTTGTGTGGTGTTTTTAACTGAAATAGCCATCTTCTACAGCCATACCCATACAGCCATACTTCTCAGTGCAGACTTCCGGGAAAACTATTTCAAGGTCACCCAGGCATCCATGATGTTATTCAAATCCTGGCATTCCATTAGACATGTTGCGGTGAAGGCCAAGCAAGCTGTGATTGTCGAGTCGTCCATACGTGGCGTCCGCGAGCGCAATTGACAGGTATCAGGGCCGGTAATTCGTTCTTAATCACTGTTGTGCGAGGAACGGTGACGTAGTCAAATAATGACGTATCACGAAGCGTACTTTTATTTAAAAGAAACTGTATTGTCTAGGGCAGTGTTTTCCACTGAAAAGTTTAGAAATAGTTCTAAGTTAGCTTACTTCATCACATATGATGTTTGCTTCAATGCCTCCAAATGTGGAACATTCCCTTAACACGCGGCCGGGCGGCTGGCTCTATACCCGGCGCTCGGGCGGGGGAGGGGGCATTTGACCCCCTGAAATCCCCAAAACAAAGACAGTTGGAGACACCAAATTCACAGGGTGGGTGGCCTGTTTGTAAACTAGCGGGTTTAAGTTTGAAGTTGGTAGACTATGGCGTTGGGATCAAAAAGTCAACCAAGGTCAAATTTCAGATTGGTGTCTCAAGCACCCCCAAGTTCAATGAAGGTCATTGGCTTTGTCTGACCTCTTTACGGTCAAGGTCAAAACCTACAGGACTGCTTCTGTGGATAATCCTGATGGCTAATAATAATGTCCCGTAGATAATCAGCCCATCTTCATCAGTACGATATGAGTTGACAGCACGTCTGACAGCTCACTTAAGCTGACCATGCAGGTGGCGCGTCCGTTTGGTGTTTGCATACAATGGTTTATGACTGCGCACGTCTCTTCGGCAGGGAACGGCTTTTAGTGGCTACACCGCGCCAATTCCGCCATTTTGACGCGCCACGGTGCGGTGGTAATGACTGTGTATAACGCGATAACCAATGGTAATGATCAAATGAGATTTTCTCACCACATGGCTATGTGATGAAAGTAACGAAAAATGCCACGTTCACGTGCCTGGCATGCAAAGAATGACATATCCGTTCGGACTGTATCCTGTACTGATGCGGGACTCTCGTTTTAAAGGTGTATGTTGAATGGGCCGCTACTGAAGATATTGAGGCAAGCATTAGATGTGATGGGAAAAGCTTAGTCAAAATTATTGGTATACTTTTAAACATAAAAGGCTGCCCACGTTTTTTTTTTTAAACATCATTATTTAGCAGTTATGCTGCTTAATGTGTCGTCGTTTCATTAGCCCATGGAGCGTTTTTATGATATCAGAGTCGCTGCCAGACTGGCAGTGTCAGAGTTGTCACTGTAACGGACCGCGTGACTCACTTGTGTTAGTTTTACGCGCCGCAAGGTGGTGTTGATTCATGCGTGTAAATTCATGTAACGAGCTTGATGGATGTCTGTTGTGTGTCTGTTTTCGTCATTTCTCGTGCTGCTCTTTTTTCCTTAATGGGATGTTTTGCACGTACGTTTGCATTTTCAGCTACGGCGCCATTCTTAAATTCTTAGCCCCGGTCCGCCATAACTTGAAGTTTTAACATGACTGCTGTTTTAATCTCTTGCCCAAACCTCACGAGTGCTTTTTGCGTGGCGGTTTTAAGCTGCATATACCTGTTTGCACTTATGTCAAGCTTCTGTGGCTTCACAGTGTAAATGTTGGTTGCGTATGTTGTATCACCACTGTGCGATGCTCATTGTTGCAATATCCCACCCTTGCAGGACATGTGTGGGATTTGGCCCAAAGAACCGCCTCCTCGGCGCGTCCGCCAAGAACATGCAAGTGACGAATGTCAAGAACACGGTGGTAGATTTCAAGCGACTAATGGGTCGAAAATTTCGCGACCCACACGTGGGTCGGGTTATTTCACAATTGCCAAACACCTTCCTGGAGAACGAGGATGGCAGCATTGGCGTCAAAGTGCAGTACATGAACGAGGACTGTATATTCAAACCAGAACAGCTCACCGCCATGCTGTTCACCAAGCTGAAAGAGACTGCCGAAGCCGCCCTGAAAATCAAAGTTGTCGACGTGGTAATCTCGGTAAGTGTTGTCGAGCGCTTTTGCTCGGTTTCGACCTGTGTCTATCACGTAGGTGCCAGAAATCGCGCGCATTGTCCCCAAATAGATACGGGGAATACGAAATGCTCTTCGCCACACCTTTACACCATAAAGCCATATCAAAAAGACCGAGTGCTTAAAATGTAATTTCTAGTGTCTTCCGCGAGGACGATTGGTTGTGGTTCTGTTCGCCATGCTGACGTTGACAGCGCAGTTTGCGCCTCGCTCTCGTCATCTATTCCCAATCCATGGTCTGAGCCATTCAGCTTTCACGGGGCTGCACAATAGCGGCGGCCGTGCTGCAGCCCGCGCGTGGCGGCGCGCCGCCCACGGCCGATGTTGCGATACGCCGCCACCCACCCACCGGCCTCGCGCCTGGCGCTCCGCCCGGCCGCCACAGCGCGGCCTCGCCGGCGCCGCACCACGCCGCATAAGGCGATGGCTGCGGGCGGCGGTGACGTCACACTACCCTGGAAGGATGCTGTGCCGCGGTGCTGCGTTGACCGCGGCCGCCTGCGCTTACGCGCGCGTGGCGGGGCCGGTCCGGTTCGTGCATGTATTTCTGGTCGGGAGATGCACTGTTTTTGCACCTGTCCAATGGATGTCGGCACGATGCTGTCTGTAGGCACTGTTGGCGCGGGCCTGTAAGCATGGACGCTGCCTTCGGACCGGAAGGTGCAGACGGCACTGACACCGAATGCGGTTTTCATTGTGTGACGGGTCAACATTGCGCGATGTCCGCACGTTACTGGCATAAATCGAGGCTACGTGCCACTCCCGCACCGCCTGTATGTACCATGACACCAGAATACCACGTTTTAGTTCTCGACGTGGTTGCCGACCCCCGGCGAGCCAGCGCCCGTCGCCTGGTGTCGCTAACGTCTGCGCCGCCGGTCAGGTGCCGTCCTTCTTCACGGACGCGGAGCGGCGCGCCGTGCTGGACTCGGCGCAGATGGCCGGCCTCAACGTGCTGCGGCTGATGAACGAGACGACGGCCACGGCGCTCGCCTACGGCATCTACAAGCAGGACTTGCCGGCGCCCGATGAGCAACCCCGTAACGTCGTGTTCGTCGACTGCGGACAGTCGGCGGTGCAGGCGGCTATCTGCGCCTTCAACAAGGGCAAGCTCAAGGTAAGGGCGGCGGCCGGTAGCATGGAGTGCGCGGAGTAGGGTTGCAGAAAGTGGTATGGGTCGGGCTTTTGGGAAACTCTGGGTCGCCCCGTTGCGGGTCGCTCCGGAATTAGGGAAGGTTTCGCACATCAGGCCTGGTCACCAACACCGTATATTGTGTACCCTGGTGGCCATCTGACTCATGCTGGTTTGTCACAGCATAGTCACGGGTATTCTCCTGTCTGTTCACCTCGCCGGCCACGTCACCTTGACTTCTGCGCGCACGTGTTGTGAATGTTGCGGCGCTGGCCACGTCGTCACCTGCTCCACCTGCGCGTGGCGAGGACACCGTGAGAGCCGTTGTGAGCGGCGCTTGTGCGGCAGGTGCTGGCCACGGCTTCGGACGCGTCGGTGGGCGGCGGCGAACTGGACCGGCTGCTGGTTGACCACTTCGTCGCCGAGTTCCGCACCAAGTACCGCATCGACGCCGACAAGAACCCCCGTGCGCGCATCCGGCTGGCCACCGAATGCGCCAAGCTGAAGAAGCTGATGTCGGCCAACTCGCGCCGGATGCCGCTCAACATCGAGTGCTTCATGGAGGACAAGGACGTGTCGAGCGCCATGGACCGTGCAACGTTCGAGGAGATGGCCACGCCGCTGCTCGAGGCCGTGCGCGCCGTGCTGCGCCGCTGCCTGGAGACGTCCGGCCTGGCCACCAGCGACATCTACGCCGTCGAGATCGTCGGCGGCGGCAGTCGCGTGCCGGCCATCAAGCAGCTGATCGAGACCGTGTACGGCCAGAGCCCGAGCACGACGCTGAACCAGGACGAGGCGGTGGCGCGAGGCTGCGCGCTCCAGTGCGCCATGCTCTCGCCCACGTTCAAGGTGCGCGAGTTCGCTGTGACGGACCTGCAGCCGTTCGCCATCCGCCTGCTCTGGGAGACCGGGTGAGTGGCGGCGGGGGTGGTGAGGCGACGAGCGGGCGAGCCCCGCGCCGGCTGAGAGACGGTCCCATTAGGTCGTGCTCTGGTACGCCGCTGTGAGGGATGTTGCCCCGCAGGAGGCTGTGGGCAGCCACCTGCGATGAGACCGCACAGCTACGATCGCTGTCAGAGATTACGGCACTCATGGCCAGGACAGTGACGTCGTGAAAGTGACCCTGGGGGCTTCGATTGTTTGCCTCCTTTTGAAAAAAACAAACTTCGGTTTCACACGTTCCCTTAATGCTGCATGCAGCGTGACTTTGCTGACCGTGACGACAGCGTTGCTCTCGCATGTGCCAGGGTAAATGTTATGTTACGTTGGGCGACATTATCACCTTGCTGGACCATTGCACCCGTCTTCCTTCAGGGACGTGGTGAGTTCTACGATCTATGGCGTATGCATGCTGCACAACCGTACTGATCCGCTTCATGCGTGCTGTATTCAGCCTCAGCACAGTACATTCTGTAGGTTTGCGTAGCTGGCTTGTGACAGGGTTACACCACAACACCGCTGTCGCCTAACTCACGGGGTCTTTTTTCAGTGACATGGAGATCTTCCCGAAAAACCACGAGGTGCCGTTTTCGAAGATGTTGACGTTTCACCAAGTTGAGCCATTCACAATTACCTGCAAGTACAGCGGGGATATTCCATACCCAGACCCCTTCATAGGTAAGGCAGATCGTCCGATTTTCTTTTTAGCGCGGAAAGGAGTAGAACGTCGTGCCAATGTTGACGTTCCCTGCTGCTGGGCGTAAAAGTCTCGAAAGATCTCGCGAGAGAACCTCTACTGACGATAGCTATCCGTTTATTATGTTCGCTAAGAAGAAGAGAACGTCGCCGCGTTCTGCGGCACCAATCACGTTCTGTTCTCGCGCCAGTGCGTGCCTGGTTGGGGGCCGGTTGCGTGCTGCGCTGCGTCACGCAGGGTTCAAAGCGGTCTGGCGTGCGACTTGACAGCAGCTGCCGCCCGGGCGACCGACACTGCTCCTCTCCGCAGGATCCTTCACCATCGCGAACGTGAGTCCAGCGGCTGACGGCGAGCCCCAGAAAGTCAAGGTCAAGGTGCGCATCAACATCCACGGCGTGTTCACGGTGGCGTCGGCAACGCTGCTGGAGCGGCAGGAGGACGCGGGCTCAGCGCCGACGGGTGGCGCGGCCATGGAGACGGAGCCGGCCGGCGGCGACGAGGCGCCCCCGGCTGACGGCGACTCGCCGCCGCCGGCCGACAAGCAGCCGGCCGACGCCAACATGGACACGGACACCGCCAAACCGGACGGCAAGGCGGACGCCGCTGACGCCAAGGACGCCAGCAACGTGAGTGATGCCGATCTGTGCGGCGCGCCGACGGGCCGCGCGCCCGGTGCAGGCGGGCACGCGGTGCGGCGGAGGCGTGTGGGGTGCGCTCCGTGACGGGTGTGACTCAGGCCTACCCAGCACCTTTTGCGGAAGGGGAACTCTTGGTCCTTGGCAACAGCGTTTAGTATAGCGGGACTGCTTGCCGCGTGCCGCCTGCATAGTGCGGCCATGGCGTGCCACGAACCGGTCGGCGCGTGGAGTCGTCCCTCTGTTCAGGGTGGGAGGTCCTACGGTCCTACGGTCCTGCCGTGTAACTCCGCGGGTCGGTCGGCGCGTGGAGTCGTCCCTCTGTTCAGGGTGGGAAGTCCTACGGTCCTGCCGTGTAACTCCGAGGGTCGGTCGGCGCGTGGAGTCATCCCTCTGTTCAGGGTGGGAGGTCCTACGGTCCTACGGTCCTGCCGTGTAACTCCGCGGGTCGGTCGGCGCGTGGAGTCGTCCCTCTGTTCAGGGTGGGAGGTCCTACGGTCCTACGGTCCTGCCGTGTAACTCCGCGGGTCGGTCGGCGCGTGGAGTCGTCCCTCTGTTCAGGGTGGGAGGTCCTACGGTCCTACGGTCCTGCAGTGTAACTCCGCGGGTCGGTCGGCGCGTGGAGTCGTCCCTCTGTTCAGGGTGGGAGGTCCTACGGTCCTACGGTCCTGCCGTGTAACTCCGCGGGTCGGTCGGCGCGTGGAGTCATCCCTCTGTTCAGGGTGGGAAGTCCTACGGTCCTGCCGTGTAACTCCGAGGGTCGGTCGGATGCGCCGACTGGCGGCGTACGGCGCTGGTCCGGTCAGGAGGGGCGTCGCGGGTGGTGACCTCGGCCCCAGGGGCGCCGGCCGCGGACCGGAGAGACGCCGGCCCGCTCCCGGCGGCGGTCGTGTCGCGCGGGCTCGCGGACATGAGACGATACGCCACCCCGCCCCGGCTGGCGACGGACCGGAAACTCGGTCTGCAGGGCTGATATTTGGTTTGTTCGCACGAGTCCAACGTTGCGTAGGTTCGCCTCTAGTGATGCCACTGGTGAGTGCAATGAAGATGGCGTCTTGAAGGTTGGATCCAGGGACTCTAGAGTAAAGGGCTACGCAGACGTGACGTTACCATGAGACTTAAGTTTGGTAGCCCGTAAAATGTTTTTGGTGGATACTACGGAAGGGTTGGTAGATACTAATAACATGATTAACAACGGAGTTTTCATCAATGAACTGGGTGGAAATCCTGTTTTACCTCTTTATTTCAATGTTATGTGAATAGATATTGTACATTTTGCATTTCAAAGCTTCTAGAAACCAATTGATACTAGGGTCTGTTTGCAAACACAGATTGTACTAAACCACGTCGTGTAGCTCTAGCACCCGCGCGTTTTCGTCGTGGTCAACGCGCCGGAATATTGAAATGTGATGCGCTTTTGTAAAAGGCATATTTGTATGGAAATAAGTAAATATCAGATGAAATATTTACATTAAATTCATTAAGGGGCAATGATTGCCTCCGTGCCAATATCTCCGTGCCGTCATGCCCAAATGGAGTGAAATGTGAAAGTGAGGTAATGTGGGGAGGGCAAGTGTCAAGAATTTTGCTGTTGCTTTGCTATGATCGTTCTAGGTGGTGGTCAACTTGCAGATCCATAATGGTGAATGGGTTAGATAAAAGTGGTGTGCTGAGAATGATATCCCGACCGCCCTAATACATCCCCAACATTATTTCCGAGCTGAGATATGGGTCACGACTCTTTGACTGGCACAAATCGCAAAACTTGCCAGAAATCGGCCTATTTCAGAGGAAAATCTGCTATCTTGAATTGAAATGGTGTGCGCTGTATTTAAGCCTCGGGGTTCACCACTCCCTGCCCCCATCAGTGCAGGTCAACCCTGCAACCACCCCTGCCCCTCCTAAGGTCACAGGATGTGCATTCCAGCTTCTGAATACGCGTCCCAGGGTGCTGCGAGCCCGTCTGGACCGCCGTATCTCATCCCCACCCTATGTTGTTGTATGTTGCACTCTTACACGGACTGTTTCTCAGCACGTCCTGCTTGAGTTCTTCTGAGTAAATTACTGGTGAATGGGTTACCTCAGTTATCTGTCGGGGGCAGGCTGGAAGCGCATTTCAGCAATGATTTTGTAGCTCTGGTGCAAACCAATGCCATTTCCTAGCGGAAAATGCTTCATGGAATGTGCTAGGTCAAAAAATCGGTTTATGGAAGTATTCGTGTCGAAACCAGTCCACAAAAGTCAGTGTTCTCACGCCGCCGTAGCGTTGGTGCCATATGACTTAGTCCAATGATGACGTCACAGCGTCGCTACCCAGGATGCAGTAATGCGGGGGCTTGGTTAGGTTCACGTGTTGGCAATCCAGGCAGGTCCAGGCTCGTTCCACTTCAGTATCGAAATGTGGGTCACGTTACGATGCATACGGCTAATGGGAAAGGGAAAGGCGAAGCAACATATAATATATATATATATATATATATATATATATATATATATATATATATGTGTGTGTGTGTGTGTGTGTGCGTGCGCGTGCGCGTGCGTGTGCGTGTGCGCGTGTGCATGTGTGTGTGTATGTGTGTATCATGATAGACAAGCAAGGCCGGGTTGGAGATCAGTTGGATTCTTGTTGGGCTGGATGGGGGCTTCGAATGGCTCATGGTTTCAACAACTTTCTCTGGTTACCATTAAACTTCCCGAGAGCACTGAGCGGCGAGGAGTTTGAGCTCGCTGTTCCTGGGATACCGCTCGCCTCGTTACTGCCATGGATGGCTGGGCCGGAGCGTAAAGAAATCCGCTGTGTGTTGCGGAAGCCTAGCTATGTTTCGCGCCTAACAAAACATTTTTGGTGTAGTGACATCGCTAAATCCGTACTCCACGTCGCCGCGTCTTCTGTTCTAGCCGGGCGGGACGAAGCGAGGAGCGCTTGCCGCAAGTCTGCCCCCGGCGCGTGTGGCGCCGCCAAAGCGCCCGAGGGCGTCACGGGGTCCCTCACCACCCGAGTCTCCCTTCCAGCAGGGCGACGTCAAGGACAAGAAGGTGAAGGTGAAGAAGACGGAGCTGCCGGTGGAGACGGTGGTGACAGGCCTGACGCAGCGGGAGGTCAGCGAGCTGATGGAGAAGGAGGGTCAGATGTGTGCCTGGGACAAGCTGGAGAAGGACCGTCAGGTGAGACGGCCGCCGCTCGGGCGGAGCGTTCGCCCGGCTGCCGACCCAGGTCGGCGCCGGCCGACGCGTGGCACGCTGGACTGCCTTGCGACGCGTTCGCAGCGCCTCTCTTGTGCGAGTTGTGGTTTTGTTGATGGCGCAGCTTTATCATGCAGCCAGTATGCTATGTTTCGGCGTTTGTACGCAGTGTTCAGTTTGGGGCCTTGCCGGCCACGTTTATCGGCTTGGTGCGGCCCCCACGAAGTTTGTCGCTCGCCTGCCCGACTTGCCGCCATGTCTACGCACTTGTACCGACTTGCCGCTGTCAGACCAGCTCTTTGTGGAGAACGCCATTCAGCTTGGTATGCCAACAGAGGCGTGTCAAAACGTCCACAAACGTGAGGGCGGCGGCTGACTTATCCGTGCTCACGCTGGCAGGACTCGAAGAACGCAGTGGAAGAGTACGTGTACGACCTGCGCAGCCGGCTGCTGGAGGATCTCTCGGCCTTCGAGCGCGACGAGGTCAAGCAGCCGATCAACGCCACGCTGGACGCCACCGAGAATTGGCTGTACGAGGACGGAGAGGAGTGCCAGAAGCACGTCTACGTCGAGAAGCTGACCGAACTCAAGGTAGGCGACGGCGGCCGGCGTGGCGGCGCGCTCTGGTCGCCGCGACCGTGCCGTGATGCCCGCTGCGCCCGCTTGTTGTCTCCGTAGGCTGCGGTTGGTCGTGTCGGGATTGGGACGCCGGCAGCGGACCGGGACAGACGCTGCACGCGGTGGCGTCGACCATAGGTAGCGTGGGCCTCCCGCAGACTCCCTGTGAGTCCGCGCTGTGTACAACTCAACGCGTCGCTCCATCACTACCCGACCGACGCGTGGACTCTCCCCCGGCTGAGCTCCAGCGTTGTGATGTTCCCGGCGCTGGCGTCCAGCCGCGGCGGCACGACGCCGACGTACGCGCCACCGTGTCCCGCCGCTGACGGGACACGGTGGCGTCCAGCCACGGCGGCACGACGCCGACGTACGCGCCACCGTGTCCCGCCGCTGACGGGACACGGTGGCGTCCAGCCGCGGCGGCACGACGCCGACGTACGCGCCACCGTGTCCCGCCGCTGACGGGACACGATGGCGTCCAGCCGCGGCGGCACGACGCCGACGTACGCGCCATCGTGTCCCGCCGCTGACGGGACACGATGGCGTGCCCGCCGACGTGCTCCGTCTCGCTGTGTCGCCTCTGCCTACTGGCCGTCACAGGTCCGCACCCACCGGCCACCCTTTCCTCGTGCACTCACTGGCCTCCCTCCGCAGAAACTCGGCGAGCCGATCAAGAACCGGTTGCGCGAGTTCACGGAGCGTCCGGCGGCACTGGAGGGCCTCAGCTCTGCACTCCAGCTCTGCGACAAGGCCGTGCTGGCGCACCGGGCCGGCGAGGAACGCTACGCCCACCTGGAGGCGACCGACATGGAAAAGGTGCGACATTGAGTGGGTCACGTGGACAGTCTGTGGCCTGACGGGAAGAGGGCAGGGTTCGTCCGGTGTGGGCCTGCAGCTGGTTGTGGGCAGCCCAGGTGAGTGGCGAGCTTGGGAAGGTCAGCCGTATGTGCGTCGTCGTCATTGGGGCTTTGCACTCAGCTGCTGAGGCTATATGATGTCGCCTGCCTGCCTCCTTGGCGGGAAGGGCGGGCACCACAGGGAGTCGAACCTCGTACCTCTGGTTTCCTAGGCGCGCAGTGCTTTTAGACCGGCACCCACATGTACCACACTATCGATGATGCACGTGAGGGGCTGGGGAGGCGTCTGGGTTTGCTTTGCTGACTGTGACGTCGCGAAACGTGCTGAAATCCCGTTCATTGACCGGAATCACGCATACAGTTACACAGGCGCTTAATGGTGCTGTTGGGATAGCTCGCCGTGGTCTGGCGGCCTGAGGCGTGGTCGTGTCGATGAGGAGGCGGGGGGTGTCGCGTGCCGGCGGCGCACGTCGTGTCACGAGGTCCTCTCTCATCGGCAGGTGGAGAGGAGCCTGGCCGAGAAACGGGAGTGGCTAGACAAGAACCTGGGCACGCTGGCCAACCTGCCGCGCACCGAGGACCCGCCCACTACCGCTCAGCAGATCTGGAGCGAGAAGCTGGTGGGTCGCCTCGCCCGCGGCAGGCGCTGGGGCAAACGGCTCCTGGGCTTGTCTCGATGGCAGGCCCACGTGTTGCCCATCTGGTCAACCGGCTTCTCGTACTGGCGGCCTCCGCAAGCTGCTGTTTTAAAGCCATCACTTGTTCTGGTTACCGACAATCTCCTGCTAACTCGTGCTGTTGTCAGCCGACGCGTGTACTGGTATGCTGTTGTTCGCCATCAGCTGTTGGTTTGCCGTCTGCTGTCGCTCGTCCGGTCGAGTCGTTGGTAATTTCGCCTGTTCATTCACCGGCTATGGTGTTCACATTTTCGCGCGCCGCAGGCGTTCGAGAATTCCGTGAACCCGATCCTGAACAAGCCGAAGCCGAAGCCGCCCAAGGTGGAGGAGCCGCCGCCGGCGGACAAGACGGAGGAGAAGGCGGAGAAGCCGAACGCCGCGGCGCCGCAGGACAATACGATGGACGTGGATTAACGCGGAGCTGAGCGGTCGCGCACGCCACGCCCCGAAACTTAGACACTTCTAATGGGGGGCGCCAGGGAGACGGCAGAGTGGGTGGGGTACCGCGCCGAACAGGCCTCTGCATGTGCTAACAGCGCTATTTATTGTGTCTGCGGATCGGTGGAGGTCGGGCCGGTCGGGCGTCGTTCCGCCGGGGTCGAGCGTGCGGCCCCGCCCGGGCCGCCACGTGCTTCGGCCTACCGCGGCTGCCCGGCGCCTCAGCCATCGGGACTGATGCCGGGCAGCTCGCCTTTCGGCGTTAGCCCGTATGCTGTCGAAAGCCGACTTGGATTACGTTTCCTAACTTCACATAACTGAGCGTTCTGCCGCGCAGGCCTGGTGCCACATCTGTGTTATTGGCGTATTATGTTGCGCTGACTTATTAGTGTAGTAGGGCGGAGCCTTAGGCCTAGATTTGCCTTTGGCCGCTGAAAATTCGAGTCATCCTGTTACGTTTTGTAGCCGGGCAACCACCACCATATCTCTTGGACCTCTTGTAACATTGCATTCGAATATACGTAAAACGAAAACTTGTGCGTCTCGATGGTTGTGGGTGTTTCATGAAACTCGCTATCCAGCGGCGGGCTGGAAGAGCATGGCATGGGAGCATCGGAGATACGTGGAGATAGCGGCGGGACCCAGACGAGCACAGCCACCGCAAGGGGACATCACAGACCCCCTGACCCTCGGGCGGCGGACTAGCGGAGCGCCACCACCGGTGATACAGTGATGGGTCAACACGGGCTGCGCGACGCACTTCGACCAATGCAGCGAATACACGACGGCTAGGCGAATATAACGACTGCATCGGCACGATGCCACGGCCCCAGCGGTTCTTGTACAGCTGACTCACAGAATATTCCCGTGGATTAACGTGATCTTTGTTTTCCCGACACGGCGATATCTACCGAGGCCGCATTCAAGGCTACGACGGCGGCTGCGACGGCGCGATAGCCGACAAAGACATTGGCTTGACTGCTGTGTTGTCTTAGACAGCGCTGCTGAGGGTGAGGAGCAGGCGAGCTGGCCCGCGCTCCGTCGCCAGGCTGCCGTTTAGTCGCATCTGGCGCATTCCGCGTGGTGGCGGTGGTGTAGTGGGGCTTCGCCAGTTTGGACAGGCGCCTGATAGTGCAGTGGTTTAGCTGCGCGTCTGGGAAAGGCACCAATCACGCACACGGTTCGAATAGGCCGTGAATGTTCGGAGTTAAATGATGAAGAGGCAAGTGCCAGCCATTCATCACGTTGAAGGCACTTTCCTTACCCTCTGACTCTTTTGGCCAGCGAGGGCCAGTCCTCGGCTATAACATGAAGAGCAATGGACGTTGGAGCAAAACTAGGTGCATCGAGCGATCCAGCGCCACTTGCACCGCACACACAGACAGGTAACGATGATCAAATTTTCTCCGAGCTGCTGCGAATTGTACTGGATTCCTGCAGAATCACCCAATATCTGGCGTAAACCTATTGGCTCAAGTGGAGAGCATGGCCCTCGTGCTCCTCCCTCCTTGGCTACATTCCAGCCCACGGGGATCACTCTCCATGCCGCGGAGATTTAGGGTAAAGTGGTGAACGATGAAAGAAGCGTAGACCATACATGTGACCAGAAAGGGGGGGTGGGAACACACTCCAATTTTCTCAAATTATAATTTTGTCCCCTCACACTTTGCCCACGGATGGCACGTTTTGTCGCGTTTCTCTTTTTAAAATAACATTCTCAGGTCAGGCCGCCTCTCACAGATTTCGTTTTTCACCCTCCCCTCCCCCAATTATTTGTCTCACCCAACCTCAGAGACATGACTCATTGCCCAACCTCAGACGTTATCCGCTCCATGGGCCGATGTCGCCGAGTAATGATGTTCATGAGGGGCCGTCCATGGAATACGTTTCGTATAGAGAGGGGCAAGGGGTCTGATAGAATGTAAGTGATGATGATTGTTATTTGGGTGATAGAGCGTAAGGAAGCGTCACACGGGAAGATGATGAAAAGTTTCGACAGCATAAGTTAACGCTCAGGTGCGGTTGGATATCATGCTAAACACTCCAAAAATAAAACAATTGTTTTCTTAAATGGAGCGTTCCACATTTGTATGGGTTTCGAACTAAAATAGCCCTCTTGAGATTGTTCTGCGCAGATCGAAGCCTGCCCTTCTTCAGACCTAAACCCCTTTATTTTTTAGTACATGCCCGCGAAGATGTACAGACTATTTCAGGAATATTATTTAAAGGTCATCCAAGCATCCAGGACGTCATAATAACGCCACTAAAAGCTTGCGATTCCATTTTCCATGCGCCGGTTCATGCCAATGAAATATAACTGGCAAGTCGTTCATATCTGGCGTTCATAATTACGATTTGCAGATATAACGACCGCCAATTGGCTTTCAATCAATATTTTGCGAAGTACGACGACGTAATCAAGCAATGACGTATTGAGGAGTATATCTACTACACAGAGAAATTGTGATGTCTAGAGCAGTCTTTTCCACTAAGAGTGTACCAATACTTAAAAGTGAACTTATTCCATCATATCTGATGCTTGCCTCAATATCTTTGAATGCGGAACACTCCCTTCATCTTGGATGCCGCCAATGACGAGGAATAGGGCCGGTATTTGTTTCGCGTCTCCAGCTCAATAAGGGGCCGAACGACGTTACTGATTTTAGACGCTACGCATAGAAAAGCGTAGCCAGAAGGAGGGGATTTGATCGCATAACCAATCCGCGACCGGGGGACGGAGGGTCGGAAATGACCAAAGAATGTGCAAAGTAATTTAGGGGTGGCTAAATTTCGCGAAAGAAGCTCTAGCCTCAGTAGCGATGAAGGTGTGGTAATGATCATGCAGGCCCATGTGAAATGCTCTTAACTGCTCTGGACTCGAGGGCGCCACATTGCATGGTTTTGTGGAGGCTCGAGCTCCCGCAATGCTGACTTGAGCCCCCATTCCTCCCTCCGCTCCAAGCCCGCTCCCTTCCCCCAATGCATATGGGCAAAATAAAGAAACGTCGGAACAAGGAAACGATGAAAGATATCCCGAACTACTAGCACATGTATCTAAGCACACCTCTTTTAGTATCACGCTCATTCTGTGTCATACACTATGTTGTAGCCGTCCTCAATCTAGCATTATTAGACGGTTCCAAGATAAGTTTGCGATGGCGTTCAGCTGAATGTTAAACCGATGAATGTGAAAACCCGAATGATTATTGTCGCCATATATCTTTGCCGTCAAGTAAAAAAAGCGAACGACTTAAACGAGAAAGGCATATTGACATGTTTCTTATGATAGCATGGCAATTATCAATATGCAAATGCCTAGAAATATGAATCAACCGAAAAATAATCAGCCGAAATATGAATTAGCTGAATGGTAATTTGCCGAAAGGGCGTGCAGGGGAATGGCAAATATACGAATGGAAATAATCGAATGACCAATAAACCAAGACCTTTTTTGTTAAAATGTGAATTTGATAAACGAAATTAGACGAGCATAATTAGCAGAGTGGGCACTTAGCCAAATACATCTGGTCGAAGTGAGAATTACACGATTTAAATTTGGCGGGGTGATGACGTCTCCAGACAGTAATGGTGGTTCATAAATTGCATTGTGTGTTGGTGGCATGATTGGTTAAGCATAACCCATATTACAAGTGACATGGAGTATTCGGCTTGGTTTGGCTATTCAGTTCTTGGTAAAGCTGTACCTCCCCTTTTATGTCTCCCCAATATCCTCTTCTTTTTTCTGACCTGACACATTGCAAGTCACATCTGGCGATGTCCACATGAACGCTTCAGATACAGTTTTTAAGAGCTATTCAGCGTCATTTTCTGCATTGTCGTAGCGTGCTTAGATCTCACAACAGGAGAGTGGACACTGCTCACTTTGTTAAGGGCCACATTCGCGATTGTCCCCTTTAACTAATTTGACGTAATGCGACGACAATTTTCCATTGCTGTCTTTCACGTGGTCCTAGCTTGCTTAGTTTTTGAGATATTTAAAGGAGTGTTCCATATTTGCATGGGGTTTTGAACTGACATGGCGATCTTGAAGACAATGCGGTGCAGTCCACAGTTATGCCGTTCTTTAGAACTAAACCACTCTAGTTTCTAAGCTACACGCCCGCGAAGGTGCACAGACTATTTCGTGCAGACTACTTCAAGGTCAGCCTGGCATCCATGACGCCATAATAACAACATTTCAATTCTTGCCATTCCATTAGTCATTCATATGTCGTTCAAATCTGGCGTTAGGAGCGCGATTTCAAGATCTGGCGGCCGTCAATTGCTCTCAATCGATGCTGTGCGCGGTACGATGGCGTAATCAAACTAGGACGTATTGAAAAGGCTGTTTTCAAAATGGAGAAATTGCGTCATATAGAGCAGTCTTCTCCACTTACAAGCGTACCGACAGCTATAAGTGATCGTTTTCATCGCATCTGGTGTTCCTTTTAAGGAGAGCTGCTGCGGTCTCCCCTCGTAGGGCGACGGCAAAAAAGCCCAACGGCCGAAGCCCAGGGGGCCACAGTCTGCAATCTAATGACAGCATTGTGACGTATACACATTTGATTAAAAGACATTCAGGAAAACAACATTCAGCTTAACCGTATATCGGCATAGAACATTTCGATACTTTTTTCGATTTCGACTATTATGCCTTTCGCCATAATAGCACGGCGGCACAAAGACACGCCGACAAAAACATTCCGTTGACCGCATTTGGCAAAAAATGATTTCGCTGGTGCATTTTGGCGATTCGTCAGGATGTCATATAAGGCACGGATCTAATTCGGCACCAAAGCTGAAATACACAGAGAATGAGACAGCAAAAGCTGGGACCGCCGCTTGCCGTCATCTCTATCAAAATAGCCAGCAATTTCGCTGGGAAGCATTTTTGCTTCGCGCAAAAATTCCCGTAGGTTTAGCACAGACGACGCCAATTTCGCGGCGACTGGGCGACGGCACGACAACTTTCGTTTCTCGGAGCCGTTTCTCGATAACCAATGGTCGCAGTGTCATGAGACTTGCACAGCCAGATAGATAATGGAATGGGCCACCGGACTGATGTAAGTTTATCGTGCCACGTGTAACGTGACAAGTGCACACGTATTAAAAAGATGGAATTGGCCGTTTTTTGACAGACTTTTACACTTTGGTTATATCGCCGTACGCAGTGCAGGTAGAGGCGTAAATTTTGTTTTCCAACATTCACAATGAAAGCGGCTACACTTGAAGCGCGCATCACGGTTTGTGCAACGCGTCGTTGCACTGAGAATTGCAATACAAGTTGCAAGCAGTTAAGTTTAAAAAATCGCCGTCGAATGAAAGCCGCTACCGTCAAAGCTATTCATGATTTAGCATTGAAAACCTACAAGTATTGCCGATGTGCTATCTCACTCTCTTTCTCTCTATCTCTCTCTTCTCTCTCTCATCTCTCTCTATCTCTCTTCTCTCTCTCTCTCTCTTCTCTCTCTCTCTCTCTCTCTCTCTCTCTCTATCTCTCTCTCTCTCTCTCTCTCTCTCTCTCTCTCTCTCTC